AAACACTGCTCCTGCTCGCCTTACAAAACAGCTGTGTCCTCCACATACTTGCTCCCACCTCCCTGACACCAGCGGCTTCGGATCCGCTCGGATCGCATGCAGAAAATCCACCGGACCTTCTTCTCCTCCTGCTGCTTCTTGACCCTTAGTTTGATCCAACTGAGCTCAGTTAGATCAGCGGATCGAGGAAGAGGACGGCACATCACCGGGAAGGCGCCGCAAGACGGACGGACATAGATGGGGCATCCGGAGCACGGACGGGGTATGACTCGGTCTAAACGGAGCACGTTCGTTTTCCACACGGTTTCCACCATGTTCATGTTGTGAATCGGTCTTCATCACAAATATCGATCTTTTCAGCTCTCCAAAACTTAGTCTGGGAGAACCCCAGCCGATACCCAAGAGAAAAGGCCAAGGGTCCACATCTTTCCACGCTCTCTTGGCCCTACCAAGCGGAAGAAGCCAAACGGAATCAGAACTGCCTCTCACTTGCAATCCAACCACAGTCAACTCCGTCAACAACGACCACCAAACGGGGATCATTGAAAACAACAACTCCCAACATCTCACTATGAACCTTGATTGATTTGCCACATTTCTGTCACCAATGCATTTCCTTCAAAAAAGAACCTCCGGAGCCTCCATGTCGTATACCAAACCCCCAACCCAACCGACCCAACCTCCGGTCGAAAACCGTCCCCCAACTTACCCCGACTCGTCTGGAGTCTGGATGAGTAAGACCCAGGCTCCTTTTCACGCTCCCGCACACGGCAGGCATGCGCCTTGCGGAACTCCTGCCATGCCGCTCCGTGGCACCGAGGGTGCCGATGTGCCGGCCAGTAGGCGATGCCGAAGGATGGCCCCGATGTCCACCGAAGTGGCAGTGAAGGGGCTCTGTGAACTACTGCTATATTTTTTGGAGGGGGTGTCAATCGTCCCATCAAAAGCACCGAAATGCACCCAATGGAATTGGTAGCTTCACACCCTCAAGAGTACCTGATGTGTGCCAGTGTGACCCTTTGAAGCAACTAGGTTCGCTGAACCGTGTTTTATTTTTTGTGGGAACCGAGTGCGCCCACAGTACACCTACTAAAAGCGGTGGTCTGCAACCTAAGAGCAATGGCCTCCAACCTATATGCTATAAGTTGTGGCTAGAAAAAAGTGGAAGCTGCTTGGCTACAGCTGCGATTGTAATAGCACAGGTTCAGGGCCTGCCGTGCCACTAGAGTTTCTAAAAGAACCTATATATATTCTGCTTAAAAGGACCCCTGACCCCTCTAGATGCATCCAAGGCGCCGTATAGCCGCCCTTGTACTGGATGAGTTTCTTCTCCTCCAGTCACTGGCCACATGAGAAGATCAGTGCAGTGGGTACAAAAGCTTGAGAGCCAGTCCGCAACCTCCAGCTCAAGAGCAAAAAAATAAAATTGATTGAGTTGAACAAAAACACATTGAAAACAACAACAAATGCTCAAACACAAGTGAAAAATAACACTTTGAACACAACAAATTGGTTTCAATCTGTTTCAACCCTCTAGCGTCCAAGAGGCCTCATAACTCCCAACCCGTGCCTTGACAGCTTGAGCTTCGGTCCTCCAGGTGCACCACATCGGTACAAACCGAGTCGAGGAAATCCGCGTCATGGGACACCACCAAGAGGGTCCTGCAGACGACCGGACCTTGTCAATTCGGTTTTTATACGAATTACCACGGTGTCAATTCGGTGGTGTCAATGGTGGTGGCAGCGTGTCTCTGGTTTCTCGGAAAGTACATCACTAACGTGAGTTTTAGATGTGACGTATACACTGTACACACGCAAACAGTCCAAATGTTGAGAACTGAGTCCCCGAACTTGGGATATTCGCTCAGGTACTCGTCCAGCCACAACCTGAAAAACCCGCAAGGAAACCGCTCGTTGTCTCGCGCGGCACGCGGCTCGTTGTCCAACGTTAAGCGGCCTTTATATTACTATCATGCACCATAGAGGTATCCAAAGAGGTCCCGGTTTAGCCAGGGTTCCAGGAACACCCGTTTAGGATGTACCAATCACACACGTCAACTCATCGGACCAAGTACTTCCGTGGGGTTTTGTAAGTGCATGGGGTTTCAATATTATCCAAACTATACCTCTGCCACACGGTGTGACATTTAATATTATCACAAAATTACGTTTAAGGACGCAGGTATGCATGCATGAAAAGTCAATGAGGCTTAGAATCTGAGGGACATGGTTTTGTTCAACCCGTTTTGGGTTCTATTCTGACTGTTTGGTGGAGGGCTCTTTCTTGACCCGTTTTGGTGTTGTTTTTTGACCCGCTTTAGGGTTCGTTTTCGACCCGCATTAGAGTTGTTTTTTGACCTGCACTGCTTTAGGGTTCAATTTTTGACCCGCTTTAGGGTTGTTTTTGGACCCGCTTTAGTGTTCTTTTTTGACCTGTTGTAGGGTTCTAGTTCTTTTTGGACCCGCATTAAAGTGGTTTACCGGTTTTAAATGTATATACACGCTTTAAATGTTAGTCTTTCATTTTTGTTCAAGCCCTTTTTTTGGACCCTCCGTCCTGCCCTTTCCCCGTGAGGCCATGAACCTCGTTGCGCTCTCTTGCTTCACTCTGACTGAGGGTCTGGTCATGTCTCGAAGTACAGCGAAGCAGAAGTGGCACTGACGTGGTGTTGCCCTCCACGATGACTACGTGGTCAATGGGATGCAAACCTGGTTCCTGGTTCACAATGGACGTGGTGTTGCACTCGCAGAGTCGGTGCTGGACTGCTACACCACAGGTGGAACAAACACCTGGTAGAGTCCATGAGTCCATCCTTCGAACTCCAATGAACACCAGGACTGGGCCCCCAAACACAGCATCCAAATCCAAATGGTTCGTTGGCTCGTCCTCAGCAGTTCGTTGGCTCGTCAGCCAAGTCCCGAGTAAGTACAATGAATATCAATGAAATATACATATATGATCATATATGATCAACATATGATCATATATATGGATATATGACATGGATACGAAGTCTGTTCATATGTTCTTAGTTCTTAGCGGGTTTGTTATCTGGAAATCTTCCATCAATGGTAGACCATCAACAAAAAGCGACATAGATCACCAAACCCCTCAAGCGCTGATCAAAATCACTCTGCAGTCCCCTGAACTCTGCACAACTTTGGCTCACCTCATGTTCTTTAACCGACAGGTACAACCAGCTCGACCCGGGCGAAGTAACCAGGTGAAACGGTTCAACTTGCCACTTCTTTTAAGTCCCACAAAATCGACCCAACGCCCAGCTTCCTTCAAATCGGCCCATCAAAAGGCAGACGTTGACGCATGAAAACACGCTTCGAGTCGAGTCAGGGAAGACGAGTCCTGGACTTGAGTTGCTCATCTTTTGAACTCTTCGGCCCCCAAAACCACCCCCCAAACCTCCCTGCTTGGTCTGTTCCTGTGCGTTGCTCGACCCTGGCGTCGGCCTGCCAAATACGACGCCCTTTTTGCTTGGGATCCCTTGGGTCGAGGGATGCTCCTGGCCGCTCGGTTCGGTTCGATGGTTGTGGGTGGTTTGGGGGGTCCAATCACCTGGGGTCATGTCGGGCGGGGTCATGTGGGTCACACCTGAGTGGGTCTGAGCATTCCAGCCAGCAGCAGCAGGTCTGGCCTGGGTCTTCCGGGTCCGAAGCGATTGCTGGACCAATAGGATGAAGCAATCAGTAGGTAGAAATAGCCATGAAATAGCACGAAATACTAATAGAATTCCCTACTAGGTACATGTTGGACAAACATGTTCAACTTGTCCATGTAAGTCCATGTCCATGTCCAGTCCATTGCACATGTCGGCGGGTAACAACAAGAAAGGAACCCTTGGCGTATGCATGCGTATGCCCTCCCAATGGGGAGATACACCTCTTCTTACCTCCTGCTCACGCCATTGCATGCGTGTCGATGGTGGTTTTGCGTCTAAACCAGCGAATACCTTGAAAATAACGGTTTTTGGGAGGGGAACATACAGCTTACATCGTGCAATCTAGGTACAGTATCAGTCTGTAACAGTGGCTTCTTCATATTTTTTGCTGGGCTCCACACTCCAGAAAGAGCGCCTTGGCCAAGGAGACACCTGAGAAAACACCAAAAAACATTGTCAACCAAGAAATCGACGAAGATCTCGGAGTCGATATCTTAGGGCTATGACAAAATCTTCCTGAGATCGATCGTTGTCACGTTTGGGTCAACCTTCCCACTTGAGGGCTCCAGTGGATTTCCACTCATGGTGATCCAGCAAAGGATGCGAACCTCACAAGAAATTGGGGGAACCGTTTGATAGGAATTGCAGGGAATGGCCATTGCCAGCGTTCAATCTCGCGAAAGGCCAGAACCACACCGCAGCCCGAATGCCTTTCAGGTGGAGAAGCCTCATACCAATTTCCAAAAGGCGATTGAAGAGCACCTGGTGTAGCTCCACATGAATCTTTCGATCAATCTTCCAGTTTCTCTCGGATGATCTGCTCCCGGCGTGCAAGCACTTGCCACCAGGTAAGTGGAATGAGATGAGACCGAGCATTAGTAGCTCCTGGCATTACTACTAGGAATAAAGGGCATTGCTACGACCGGAGCAAGAAGCTACTAGTAACTAGCTCCTGGCAATTCCCCAGGGCACCACGCGCATCCTCCAGCCGCCCGACCTCGAACGGATGACAGTGCGGCCAATGGGGGGGTGTTGGTTCTTACACCCTGAAACTCTACAATTGGATCGGCAGGATGCACCATGTTTTTGTCGATGAAACTATGTGAAATGGGATTGAACTTGAAGAAACGAAGATGAATCGTTGACAGCATGTGCACATAGCCAAAGCCGCGGAAATACGCATAGCAAATCATAGCAAGTATCTGTCTTGTAGGTCCCAATTTTGGGGGTTCCAGGGTCTCTGATTCTTCCAAAGCAAATATGGGAAACCACCCGAACATTCACCCCCCCCCCCGAAAAAAATGGGTCCATCCAGGTACGACATCCCTATTGTAAAGCTGTTTGATGCGGATCGATGCTATCATCCATAGCAACATTCAAGAACCCCTTCATACCACTCAACACATGCAATGTTGAAAGAAACAGCCTCACACCACAAGGATTATCCAACCTGATCTCCATCCCCATCCGTGTTCCCTTCACTTGTTCTATGTCTATATACAGTTTGCAGTCACACCCCCATTCGGAAAAATCTATCGTTTCTGCCCAACACCTCCCAGTCCCAGACTCCAAGCCGTGCAAAACGTCACCAGGTCCGAAGGGCAAGACGTGCACCGGACCATCCATCATGGCACTGGTGAAGCCCAAGCCGCACAGGATCTTCCGCACCGACGCCTGAAACCGCCCCCGCCGCGATCGGTCGCCAGGCGGAGTGAGGCTCGTGGAGAGGGTGGGTGGTGGCGAGATGGGAGTGATGGGAGTGATAAATATGGTCACAGTGAAATTGGTGGGGACAGTCACTGTTTAAATTCAAATGGGAGAGGAGCTAAATGCTAGCGCAGAAAAAACACATTGGGGGGTCTGTTCAGTTGGGAAGCGGCATTGCCAGCATTTCATTCACATGGTAGCATTTCACTTCAGGGGCTTCTTCGCGTGGGAGGTGGTCCATTCCTTCACTTCAGGGGCTTCGTTAAGGCTTTAAGTCTTTCCGACTCCTATCACAACAGCAGCCACAATGCCAAACGACTACCAAAAAGTCACTCGACTCTACCTGTTTTATACATTACTCAGCAATGCTTTGCATAAGCTTGATCTCAAACCACTATAGAGAGCAATCATGTGGTTCGGACCCATGTTAGTGCGGTCCCCAAAAACCAAGCTCAAGGATTTGCATATCAAACCCCCAAATATCCAAAACAATGCAAGTGCAACAGGGGCCCGCCCGCCCCTTAGGTGGTTGGAGAACTCCTTCATCCCCCGGACGCCTCTGCTGCCTCTGCTCCCATGGCATCCAAGTCCTCTCCATCTTCCGGACTGGCGGAAACCGGAGCCCTGAAATGCTTCTCTCATCTGGGCGCATAAAGCACTGGATTAATGTAGACTGATTAATAACCCCCCGCTTGTGAAATCCTTTTCATTTGGAGGGTTATTAATCAAGTCTACATTAAAACCTTTTGTGGGATCCGGGTGACTATCTATCACCGTCCTGATTCGCCTAGTTGCTCTTCGTCTTGTCGCGAGTCCGGCACCTCGGTGTTCTAGGTGCGGAGTGACGCTCCGTCCTGTGCGACGGAGCTCAACTCCTCGCAGAGCTTTTGCAACTCCTGTGCGTCCTGTGCGTCCGGCGCCCCGGTCGAGCGGTCGTGCGGTCATGTGATGGGGAGTGGTCCTGTGGATAAAAAGGGAAGCTCAAAGGGAAGAAGATGGAAGAAGAGTTCTTTGTGAAACTTTGGTTGATTTGAGTTCTGAAAGAGTTCAAGACTCAAGGCATCTCAAGAGACCTTTGAGAGTGCTCAGTTCTCGATCCATGCAACACACGTGAAAAGTGTGTTTTCAGTGTATTCATCCTTTTGGGGGGGTGTCTTGGGATATCATGTATTCATCAAGTCTGTCTACCTGGATTTGCTGGTCCTCAAAAACAGCTGGCAAATCGATTTAATACACTGATAAGGCTATAAAGAGGGCATACTCCTTGATCCCACAGTCCATGTAGAGAGTTACTTGACCCTCAACAACCTCTGGTCATGCCGAAGCGAGTATGAACACAATTGGAACCCTTCTAGACCTGTGACCGTTTGACATGCTATAAATGCTCCCTCCAAAAACGCAAGCCAACATGGACTGCATTAGATTTAAAGACCATCTCCCGGCGAACCAAACCGCCCTTTTCAAGACGAACGCTCGGGTGGGTTTCTGAATACATCCCCCCGCTCTCGAGACATGGTCGAGGGCCTCGGCGTCTCCCTCCGCTTCCAGCCTCAGCGGGATTGAAGAAAACATCATCTTTCCAGGGAGAAACCGAGAATATCCTAGAAGCGATGGCCTCCAACCTACTAGCGATGGCCTTCAACCTACTACAGAAAAAGATCCAGTTCCCATGTGTTTCGATAGGTTCCCAAGGTTCCCAAGAGAATCCTCCTAATGATGTATGTAGTACCGTGGCAGTGGTTGCCGTAGGATCTGGTCTATCATATTACCAGTAACAGTGGATTTTTTTTTCCGCTTTGCATCTTAACGAAGTGAAATAGAGTGGTATTCACTTCCAGACAGTTGGTCAGTGTTCACGTACCAACAGCCTAATCAGAACAAATTACAAATTGGAACACGAATGCGTCAATGCAAGGCTGACATGCAAATGGAAGGACCAAGACGTCCATGGGAAGTCAATGCTCAAATGCGTGAAGAAAACTTCAGTGCTGCTGGTCCAAAATACAACATACAATTTGGTCAAAAGACAAATTAAGAGACTCTGGGTGTTGTGGCACGGGCAAACCAGAAACACGCCAATGCAGGTTGAAATGTCTGGAAGGTGGTGAGGCCTGTTTTAGATAGGCATCCAGGGCTAAAGCAGAATCAAAACCAGAAGCAAGTTTCGGTCTCCCCTTCAGGGCAGGGAACCCACCTCTGATGCCAATCCAGTTCAGCTCATCTGTACGATCAATCTTTTCCCGGTCATGGCCAAAGGGATACACGCCATGGGCGTGTAGCCACTTGAGACAGAGAATGAAAATTTTTGACTGTGCCGCCAAGGTCTGAGGACCTTTTGCGTCAGCTTCTTCGGAAACATCTTGTAATCTAAAATCAGAAACCCCTTTCCAAGAACGAGCTTTTCCGGGGGCCATGTTGACTGGAGCAATTGATTTTGTTGTGACTGAGAAATCTAGGTACAATTGTGCAAAGGTAATACGAGTAGAGCATGAACAGTTCGGCCCACACCAATGCAATTGTTTGGCCCACCAAAGTAACCGAAAACAAAAGATAGGATGGTAGGGGCACCTTTTGCACAGTTCAAGATCAATGTCAAAATTAACACTTTTGGTACGGGAACATGGGGCCCACTTGAGCTGGGCAGTAGCCAGGACGTCAGCTGATTGTATACGACCACGTGTCTGGTTGTCAATTTTGTTTTTCTTTTTATAAGCATTAATGGAGTCCACCCAAACAGCAGCAACGAATTGATAAATGGAATCAAGCTGTTGTTGGGCTTGTTGTATACAATCAACAATGTGCCTGTGTTGATCCAACAGGGATTTGTTATCCTGTAAAAAGACAGCTTTAGCATGGTAATCGGCTTGCGAGTTGGCAAATGATTGAAACCGCAAGTTAGCATCCAAGATTTGGGACCACTGTTCATGTGCTTTAACTTTTTGGATAGAGACACCCAAGAAATTACGACAGTTTAAATGTCTCAATATTAAGGCCCAAACATGGTGATACCCGGGTTGGATGTCAGGCAAGGCATGATGCAACAGGATGTAGTTAAACTGATCTACAGCAGTTTGACAGTCCGAAAACAGTGTTGCATGCCACGCATGGTTGAGTGCCAACAGAATTGCAAAAACTTCAGCTGTGTAGGAATTTTGTGCAATACCTACGACACGAGTGCGAAGAATGAGCTTGGTTGTCAAAGTGTCGGGAAATCCTTGAACGACAGCAGCTCCGGCCAGGGCGGTAATGGGATTAGTGCTACAGAAAGCTGTGCCATCTAAGAATAAGAGTGGTGCATTATGGGAATGTTCAGGCACTGCAAAAGGCAAAGCGCAATTTAAACATCCCAGGCATTCCTTGAAAGGCAGATCAATCTTATCGGGAAGGCCAAGCGTGGGCATGTTAGTGCCCAATGCTTGGCTGCATTCAAAAGTTACATGTGCCTGCACGCGTTGTTCATGCCACTGTGGGCAGTAGTAGATTCTGTGAATACGAGAATCATCATGCTCACAAAACGGGCATTGACCAGTAATGTCAGTTCGGAACACCTTGGAAGCATCTTGAGTCATGCGTTTGCCTGTGATGTAAGCACTGATCTGGGCCTGTTGGGACGGATTTAACTTACGAAAGGCAGAGTGGATGATTTCAAAATCAAACGGTGCTTGATGAAAATCTTTCCTATGGATCAAATGCGGGATTTGGTCATTCCACAAATGTCTACAAATATACTTAATAAGCTTGGCACTAGTGTGTTCAACATGTAGGAAACCATATGGGGTGTCAATGCCAAAAACCTGGTCCTGGAAGGCAGGGGTACACTTAATCTTGTCCAAGGCCAGACCCAAACTGACACAAGGGCCAGTAGCTTTTCTGTATGAATGGTGAGTGGCTTGGATTGCATTTTCGATGGATCTTCTTCTATGTGGAAAAGTTCTGAGATACCTACGAAAACAAATTAATCTGTTTACAATATCTTTGTACTCAGGATCAAGTGGCTCGATGGCGTTGCAAGCAAGATACGGATTCGACCCACCTTTAGACCTCTTAATGGCTTGTGCAGTGGCTGTACGAAGCTCACCAAATGAATCCCTGGACATGATTGACACAGCAGCACCATACGTATGCTTCGAATGTGCGGCAGCAACAGTCATGGTTTGCCTGAAATGATTCGGGACATTGATCTGACTGATTTTCTTACACTTATCGATGGTCTTACGAATTTTAAGTGCACCTTGTGGCTTCCTTCTTTTCCGTGTATAATTCTGCTGAACACCTAGATCCTTGGCAGCTTCGTGCATAGGGATTGAAAGGTTATAGGGGTCCTGACGAAGATACTGTCTACCTTCAGGATTATTGGACCACAGCCAAGACTTAGGCTTTGAAAGCTGCATCTTAATGGTGTTTAAGAATTTATTGAGATGGTCCAGTCCATGGAGCAAAGCTGCATGGTCGGCGTGTACGAAAGACCAATTATCAGCGAAGAAAAGACAGTTTGCATCAGGGACTTCTGCCAGGAGAACTTTCCAGGCCCAAATACTAATGGCAAGCATTGCAGGAACAGCAAACGAGCATCCCTCTACAATACCAGTCGTGGTGGTAAATTCCTGGCCAGCAGTACCATCAATGATGAAGACACGATGCATGGCGTCCATTGCAGAAAGGAATGCACCAACGATGGTCGGATCTGCACCCATTATTAGTAGCACTTGAACCAGGGGGTCTCTAGGTACCGTGTTATACGCTTTAATGAGATCGAGGACAACACCTGAAAGTCTGGCACCAGTGATGTTTGCTTCCTCAATCAACTCAGCATTTAACAAGGCAATCATTTCACTCGAAATTCCCAAGGACGGTCCACCAATCTGGCGTGGGAGGTTTGCAGTCAAAAAATTTGCGAGTTGTTTACCTCTAATTTTGCTCCAAAGCCTGTAAACTTTAGAAAGGATGGTAATAGGTCTAATGTCTAATGGGGACGTGGGCGAGTGACCTTTCGTGAGGCATAAGGTCTTGGCAATTACCCATCTGTGTGGCCATACTTTATTATGTTCCACAAGGCAAAGAATATGCGAAAGCATCTGCAAAATTGGCTCTGGCATTTTGCTAAGGTCAAGGGTGGTGAAACCATCACCCCCTCTCGCACTGAGTTTACTTGTCGATGCAATAGCTTGTTTGAGGTCACAAACAGAGATTGGGTGGTACTTCATGATCTGGTCGGTTTTGATGACCTCTAGATATTGATTAATAGCATGGAATTCATTCTCCTGCCTACTATCACGCTGGAAAAAGGCATCCCACTCTTGGTTGACTAAGTTGTGCATCTTATCATGGTCAATGGTCCAAGCATCCTGTGTGAGCACAAGGCTTGAACTCCGCAGGCGCAAAGGCTTATCAACAGTGATAACGGAACCTTCTATTTTTTGATGCAGACTTCTTGGCCCTGAAATCGTATGGCATCCAACCGAAGGTTAGTCACATCTTCAAGGATTATTTGGTGTTTACCAGTTTTTGGCCATTTTTGCCTGACAACTGTGAACTCTTTTGGGAAATGGACAAACTGCAAGGGCGGAGGTGGCTCATCGGCAATAGCACGAAAAGTCTGTTTGCCTCCCTGCTGGATGTCTAACAATCTATTTACGTATCGAATGCGTCTGTTTTCACGCGCAAAATAGGAAGTGTTTGCGGCATGCCATTCCACGAAAGCATCAGTGAGGCACCTAGCAAATTCAAGGTCTGGCAGCTTGAGTGGCAAGAAATTCGCACCATGCTGGAATGCCCAATGCGAAAAAGACTTATGAAAGCCTTTGGCTTGGATTATGGCATTCCAAAGTACCACAAGTTGTTCTTCAGCTCTTTTAGATGGCTTCTTATAGAAACTATCTAATTGTCGAACCAAGCTTTGCAACCTATGGGCTTGACGAATATGCCTACGGTATTCAACAGTTGGCGTGGCAGTTCGAAACTGTACATCGCCCCATCTTGCGTTCTTTGGAGCAGGTTGATCAAGGTCAGATCGGACAAACAGTGGCCTCTTACCTCTTCCGAAAAAATCACGCTTAAAGCGAACAGGATGACCTTCACAGTCAACGGCTGATTCAGCCAGGGTGTTCTCAGCAATAGACGACCATAGCTCACACAAGCTATTGAGATCAGGCGAATGTGTAAGCTCTTGGATTTTGTTTTGATTTTGATGAATTAGATGATTTGCATGTTGCAAAGCAACCTGACTATCATGGATGTGGTCATCAAATGACTGTGGCAAAACCCACTTGTAGATCGGTGTGGAAAAGGAAGGAAGATGAGTCTGCATACACAAGACAGGATGGGCACTAAACATGTTGTGGTCAATGATTCTGCAGGATTGGGACCCTTGTAACCATTCTCTTGAACAAAGTATGAAACTATATCGCGTGGCATCTTTGCATGTCATCTCTGGATCTTGGTTATGCCTCTGAGCATGAAAAAGGGCAGCATCGAACCAACCAAGCCCTTTCATCTTGTCCCACAAGTGCAAAGCATCAAGATCCATATTAAAGTCGCCAGCAATGACTGCAGGTCCCTGGAAAGAAAGGGCAGCATGAGCCATAGACGAGAACAGACTATCTGTGATAGCTTCTGGTGCATAATATCTAGAATTCTTTGGTGGCCCATAAACCGCAGCAAAGAATGCCATTTGATGTGGTCGTATTTGAACAAAAGCAGTGTTGACACGTTGCCTATCAATCAACTTATGTTTAACTAATAGCTCTGCATCCTTAAGAGGGCGATGTGAAAGGATGGCTGTGCCACCTGCAAGGCCTCTTAAACCATCAAACGCAGTATTATATGGAGCTACAGGTTCGGACCATAAAGACTTGATTCCCTTACCTGCAAATTGTTTTTTCATGATGGAAGTCGCTTGTGGTGTATGACTTGTTTCCGAAACAAGGTGAATACCTTTTGGTAGGCTGGCGACATCATCAATCTTCCCAAAAATTGTGGTCGGATTGTAGTGCACAATTGAAAAGGTATTGGAAAGTTCATGATCAAATTGTTTGTTATCCAGTTGTTTAACAGGTCCAGGATTTTTGGCTTCACCGAACCTTAGATAGGTCTTCCCGAAATTGGACTGGTGTAACACGAAAACAGTGCTTCTGGTCCAAACATGAGCACAGGACGAATTGAAAGCAGAAAAACGTGCCATGTGGTTGCGAACAAAACCAGTCTGGGAAAGGTCACCTTGTGCCTTTATGGGTGAAGTCACAATATGATGACAATGTGTGGGATGGGACTTGGCGACACGTATCGTTGGCCCCAAAACAGTATTCCAAGCGCAGGCATTCGTGTATCGACCCCTTAACAAAGCCTTGCGGTAACGCAACCAAAAGATGAAGGACCGAGTGCCAGGATCAAATGGAAAGAGAAGCCCCAAAACATCACCACACGACCAAAGGGGAGGGTCCTCACACATCATGGAAAAGAAACCAAGTGGACCAACAATGGCATGAACGAACTTCGAATTCAAATATCTCGGTAGCCTGGAGCGTCTACCACCAATTTTCCTTGCTGCGAGAACAATTGTGCGGTGACCTAGCGTACACTGGCAGTGAAATGATTCAAGGCCAAACACCAACCACACAAATCTGGGCGAACTCAAAAGCATGATAAATGCCAGGCACCAAAACATCAAAATGCGATTTTGCAAGCTCTTGGTCGGCTCCCTTCCGGAGGACACACAGGCTTGGTGCTTGATCAAACCAACACTCGAAGGAACACCATCACAATCCAGGGTTGTCCCTGGATGCCCGCTGCAATGATGCAACCTGAGCTTCACCTGGTCAATGGGGACCAGACATGTGTCAGAAGACAATGCAAAAAGGAATAATGGCATCAACTCCACAAAGCAGGTCAGCTCGGGAGGACCCCCAAGGCCAAGGAGAATTGCAAGGTGTCTGAACAGGACACATGGGCGGACAATGCAAGCGAATTGGCAAATGCAAATTATCAACACCTTTATGGTAATTCATGGGATCGAGGACTGTGCAGTCTTCATATGCATACGCTGGTTGTGTGCAAACTGCGAAAAGGATCACAGTGATGAATGTCCGAATTGCGCACGACTTACCTAGTCACGACTGAGACACCTTGGCACGCTTGCACGGATCGGCGTCATCGACTTTGGATTCAATGGCAGCAAGTCGTGAGTCAACATTCTTATTGAAATGTGCAAACAACTTGTCCATCTGCTGGATGATTGCAGCATTTCCATCACTAATGGCACTCTGCATGGATTGCTGCATGGTATTGACCTTGCCAACACATTCCTCCTGACTGCGTTTGAGCTCTAAGATCGCAGCCTTTTGCTGGGAGCCATGCTGTTCAAGGTTTTGAACAGCGGTATTCAACCCTTGAATCTGCTGCTGGGTCTCATTCATCTTTTCTGCGAACTTATCATTGATGATGGTCGTCAAACGCTCCTGCAATTCGTCATATCGCGAAGTATCAGAGCATGTGGAGGCTGCCGGTGTGGCCGGGACAGACGAATGCACCAACTGGAACTTCATGTCACTGGGTGCAGGACTGTGTTTGACATCTTGCTTGCGGTTGAACTTGGTGACAGAAACATAAGTTTCATTGATCTGGAAATGACCAAAAGGCGGATCATCCTTGGCATTGATGAGCCATGCACCACCCCTTGTTGGTCGAATTGCAACAGCTTGATTCCAGCCCAAATCCTGCAAGGTCTTGGTGAGGATGTCATGCGTGGTTTGATCCTTCAACCCTTTGAGCAAGTACCAATCGGCATCAGTTTGGACTTGTCCTTCAAGGATGGAAATACTCTGCGGCAAAATCTTGGCGTGGACTTCATGTGCATGCTCCCTCCGAGTGCGGACAGCATAATTGGTCATGCATTCAACGACACCTAATGTATGCGGGACATCCTTGGACAGGCAAATGACTTCATCCAGGGTCTTGCCAGGAATCTGAATGAGGCTGTATGACAAATCCTTCTTTTTGTCTGGCGTCTTAGGGGCAAGGAAAATGCCTGCATGTCCTGATCGTTTGAGGATCTGGTCGGCAGCCGTGGCTTTGACTTTGCAGAAACCATGGACATAACTAGCATGGTCATGCTGAGTCTTCCAACAATGGCTTCCGTAGGGAAACAGGCTCCATGCTTCAATGACTGCATCACGTCGCATCTCTGGGATGTGGAGACCTAAATAAGCTAAAGGCGATTGCACTTCACTCCATGCTGTAACAAGCTCCTTCCTAATGATGAGTTCAAGCACCACGACAGGCGTTCCAATAAGCTTGGTTTGTGGCAGCTTTGGCTTGAATTCGACCTTCGGTTCACCAAAGTTGAGGATGACCACAGGAACGGCAATGGGATTGTTTTTCCCGTCGATGGCAGGGACACTCACTGTAGGCATTCCCCCAAAAGGAAATGGGGTCAGCACAATCAGGGCAAGCGGTTCCACAGAGATATTGCGAACTGGCAAACACTTCATAGCTTCTTCAGGTGTGACGATGGCAATTCCAGTCCTATCTGGGGCAAACCCATTGAGATCAATCTGCTTGACTGCGGCATTGTTGGCAACAAAGTGCAAGGTGTCAATAGCAACCTTTTCAGCAGTGGCTTCACTGAGCTTCTTGTTTTTGACACTCGAACTTGCTGATGAATGCTCCTTTGCCTCAAGCCTACCAGCTTTCTTTTGGGCTTTGAGCTCTTCTGGTGTGATGAGCCTGAGCTTTGCATCATTGGCCCACTGCTTTAGATAACCCCAAAAGGTCTGGGGATCATCATGCATGTGTGCACGAATGGTGGCATTGTCAATCTTGCTGAGAATGGTTTGGACCCTAGCTTTCACAGCACTCTCCAATACACCCTCTTCGTCAGCAATGGTTCCAAGAATCGCTGCAGGTCCTCCGACTTGGCTCCACCTGGCAAAGCACAAACACGGATTTGGAGTTCATGGTCAAGACACAAATCTTGGACTTGAAGCCTTGTGTCAACAGCTTTCCCGTGCTGCATGGCAATCATGGTCAGGTTGCTCTTGCGCAAGACTTGGTACGAAGCAGCAAGCTTAGTAACAGACCACTCCTTGTCGACATGGCAAATCTTGGCACGATAGTCAAAAGGGCCCTTCACCCAAATCTTGACAGTGAACTGCGGATCTTGTGGGACCAACGGTGCAAATGGAATGAGATATTCAAGGTTCGTGACAGGCCAAGGCTTGAACCCTGAAAAATGCAATTCGATGTCTTCATACTCAAGCAGTTGACAGACAGGCATGGACTGGTCTAGGATCACGCTTTGAGCTGTGATATACGGTATTGGTTCATCAAAATCTGGGAGCAACATGGAGACCAAGCACTGTAGCGGTGTTTTGTTGTGCACAGCTACGGACCTGATTGATCCCCATTTGGGGTTCCTGACAGCAAATCTGATGAATCCTGAGTCCGACGGCAAGGCGTTGTCAGTGAAAATGGGATTGGCAACCTTAACTCCAGCAACTCTGATATCTTTAGCCTGCCCAAAATCACAAAGCTTCTTTGGAATGAGCTGTCTAGTGTCCAAGGGGTTGACAAAGATCGTTGCTCGGAATGAACTGCACAATTGCTGGAGGACGAAAGCACCCTCAGGCATGGGAGAATCACCATCCAAAATAATCACTTTACTTGGGAGCACACGGCATTCACAAGCGACAAAGGCAATCAAATCTGAGAACTTCCAACACACGTCAACTGTGACAAGCAAAGCAAGCTCATGGAAATCAGGCTTGACACATCGTTCCAGTTTGACAGTGTCAACCATGACAGTGCACTGATGCTCTTCTTCAATACGATCATCGAAGGTGAGCTCGTGAATCCCCATTTGGATGAGTTGGAAATGAAAACTCTTTGCATGAGGAAGGGCTTGTTGAATGGCAAACTGCACAGAGGCTCGTTTGGGGATCCATACAAACTCAGCCCACAATTTCTGCTCAGGTTAGGTTGCAGGCCTTGTTCAAGCATAGTGATGTTTTTGTTTACTGGCTGTTACAGGTAAGAACGGACAGACCCAAATTACATATTTACCTAGAGCCTGAGTGACCTTTTTTTTGATGGGAAAACATCATATTTTGGATAGTTGATCCTCCAAAATAGAGGTCACTATAGGTCACTCAGGTCTATGAGATCTGTTTCCATCAGAAAGCCTAGCTCGGCTCCAGGCTTGCGAAGGAGATCCGCCTGAGTTCCAATTCGTCGAGAATAGGCGCGAGCAGATCGGAGCTCAAAAGACGAGCAAATCGGTCGATCTGTTCGAACCACGATCGGTCGAGACTAGCGTGCTCTATCTTGAACATTATTGAACCCTTAAAGAAGCCACATAAAACAGCATAAAACCTATGTACTTGCCCCAGTGGTGATGCTGCGTTTCTGAAGTTTCAGATCGAGATTCTTACACATGCAAGACAAAGAGCTGAACTTAGAGAGGCTCACGCAAAAACTTTGATGATATTGAAGGTTAGTACGTAGATGTTAGTAGTATTAGCATGTCAATGTATTACTCGCAGGGACGTGTTATCATCCACTAGATACCCCTCCTGCAGACTAAGGCAGTACCACTCAAACTCTCTAATGTGCTCTTCCAAAGTAGTTCAACGCACTGTCCCACAACAGGTGCACATCCTGAGGGACCTTAGTTTGGAGTTAGCAAGTTTGTTCACCACCCACCGACGTCGCCTCCCGCTGGAGCAGATCGCGACGCCGGCGATCGGCACGGAGCACTTCATCCACCACCTGAGGCGATCGATCGGCGGCATGATCTGCACTTCATCCAGTGCATCGAGGTACTTCAGCTGTCTGAGTCTCTTGCACTTCTTTGACTTGATATTCAATCAAAGAAGAAGCAGTTAATATCAGTTAATCCTATTCAATGGGCATCGATCAATCCAACCATTCTATACCTGTGAGAACACACGTGCGACATGCATGCCTCCTGGTGCATGGCTGTCTTTTTACCGTCGTCGCTCCTCCCAAGAGGAGATAAACAAAACAGTGGCCTTCGGCTGAGGCGTCATTTTGGCATTGCTCAACAAAAATGCCTCTGGATCTGAAGAAAACTTTTTGGTTCCATCAACATCCATCTAACATCGATGCTATGAATTCTGGCAGGGAAAACCTTTAAGCACCCCAAAACCCTTCTCTCTCTGTCTGCATTTGGAAGGTTTGCGCTCCAAAGATCCCAGGGAAGAACCTGAGCCACCCCAACCGGGACCTCTGTGGCGTCTGCTTCCTGCGAGCGAGCGAGCGAACACCCGCGACCAGAGAAGCCTCCTGTAGTGCGCACTCTTCCTGTATAGCGATGCTAGGTTTTGGCAGTTGCTCACATGTGTTTCAGGTCATGTTTCGTTCTGAACACCAAACACGAGAAGAATCACATCGCTTTTGTTGACCATCTGTTTCATGCTCGCGCGGGCGTGACACTCAGCTCCTGCTGCACCAGCGTGACACTCCAGTGCTCCGGTACGCACAAGCGCCGCGCGGCCAGATGCTTCAGCAGCGTCGTCTTGCCCATGCCATTGGGACCCAAGAGGCCATAGCCTCACCCAGACGTGCATGGAGCGCCTCTTGCGCTTGTCACTCGGCCGTCATCGGTCCGACTTGAGAGGTCTGACTTGAGAGTTTACAAGGGGATCTGGTTTGGAGCTTGTTCATAAGCTAGCAGATCTCAGAAAGTCTCTTCAGCACTACCTGGCCTGAGACTCTACCAAAATCCACGGGATGATACCTTTAAGCTCCCTGCGACGGCCCTTGGCCAAGCGAAGGCTGGCATCATCGAAGAGCCGCTGGCCGCCTCAGTCGAAGTCGCTTCTGCGACACGACAGTCGGAGAACGTTGGCGTCACGCTGAAGATTCTGAAACCATCCATCTGACTGGTTTAGTTACTGGATTAGTTACGTATTCGGACCATAGTATGTGGTAAAGGATGATCAATGTACAATATAACTTGCAGTATCCATGCATGGATGGTCATCCGGATGATAAAGAGAGCAAATCTGAATGATAAAGAAGTATTCCTCACACGGTGGGGTTTGGGAATTGGAAGAACTGAGGTACTGTGTCTGGAGAACTGCTACATCACAGTTGGGTAGAAAGTCTCAAAAGGAAACCAGAGATACATTCATGACCTCGAGTCTTGCTTGCCTCAGCCTCTGAGGGTATACCAAAATCTTAAACTGACATGCCCTAGGGCCCTAGGGCTCCAAGTACCTCCTCAGAAGGTATTTGGACCCTCTTGGCACCCACCCCAAGCACCTTCTTGGAGCCCTAGGGATGTTAAAACGAAGAGCTGTTCGATCGAAAGAAACGGGCTGAACGATGTTCAAAACGCTCGCTATACGCCCCACATGGAGGACCGCACCTGCTGAGATGGAGAAGCGTTCCAAATGCAGGTCGACCGCACCTGGCTTCGTAGAACACGTCACGTCGTCAAGAATCGCAGAAGGGGTCTCGGCCGATGCAGAAAGGAACGACCGATGAACGGCCAGATGAACATACACCGTTTACACCATGAAGCGTCTATCATAAAGGGTCTATAAAGGAAAACAATGTGTACAGCATGTATACGGAATACACTGAGTTTGGGTATACTTTCGAGTCGAGCTATGTCACTGAAAATCACTTAAAGAGGGAAGTGAAAACAAATCTACTCTTAGCATCTATTAGCTTGGTCACATCTTCCTAAGTTCTCATGGATCTAGGAGGGAAGCAATTCTATACTGTTGTGATGATCAAATAGAAAGTCATTGGCCCAAATAGCATCAAATAGCAATGCAACAGTGACCAATTGCTTTTGTTTTGAAACATAGTGGTGACGAGACCCGGTGATGAGGACATGTCGCAAGATTAACCTTTAGAACTTGCCCAACACTCTCACTCACTTAACTATTCATATAATCGAAATCTGTCATTAAAAACAAACTAAAAGGATCTAAAGGGAGATCATTAAGGAGATCCCTAAGAAGTAGATGTTTAATGGAGATCCCTCAGGAGTGGGGGTAGTTTTTGGACCCAAACAGGATGGTCCGACTGGATTCTTTTTGTTTCACCCTGAGGTCTAACGGCAGGTGCAAGGGCCTCGTCGATCGAAGATCGCCCCCAGCCTGGCACCACACTGCTGCTAGGTACGGAGACACTAAAGGCCTTCAGTTCCTGGCGGACCGGCCGTCGGCTTTTTGGAGATCCTGGTCTCTACGGTGGGTCGCTGCAGCGATCCATCGAAGCATCGACACACATCGAAGCGACACGACAGACACGAGACACGCCACGAGCGGCGGCAACACGAGCGACAGCTGCGGACGCTTCGGACGCTGAACCCAACGACCGGTCCTCCTCCAGGCGCAGCAGCTCGTCTGGCAGCTCGGCCTTCTTGGCCAAGGCCTCCTGCGACGGTCGTCGAGTCGTCATGGTCCCGAATGTGCGGAGCGAAACGTGTGTGCATTCGGGTGAAAGTGGGTTCTAGAAAAGGTGTGTATTTCTCACGTGAGAAGAAAAACAATCATGATTCATTCCAGGTACTAGTTTTGCTGCCACACGAATGTTCCAGTCGGACTCTGTGGGTGCCAAGACTCTGTGGGTGCCAAGGCACCCACAGAGTCCAAGTAGAGGAGTTCGTCCTTTTGGGGGTTTGAAGACCATGTTTGAAATGGTGGACTTCCAGAGTGAACATTGGTCCCAAAAGAACACTGGTCCCTGGAAGTCATTGTCGTTTCTCCGCTGTGCGAAGCCGGGAGCGTAAGCGAACGGACGAAGCGGTTACGCTCCCCGGGCGTCCGAAAGAATCCGATTAGTAAGGCACCTGTTCCTAGTAGCGTGGCACTTGTTTCTACGTTCGCTTCTTGTTACTACTAGTAAGGCACTTGTTACTAGAAGCGATGCACTTGTTCCTAGTAGCAACATCGTAAGTCGAAGAACGCACCAAGGTTTCTCCATGTGTCACCTCTCCCATCTCTAGCAATCTGGCAAATTCTCATCGCACAGAACTCATGGATGGAGTGAAAATCCAGGTCACTGTTCCATATCTTCTCCCAACAAAAACCACGACTAGGGGTTTGACCAACATGAATTCAGTAACAGCAGTTGAGCCGGCTCAACGCCGTAGTAAAGGGACTTGAGTAAAACATAGTAAAACATGAAAAAGTAGAACAACTCCCGAACAGAACAGCGAGTAGTTTTTTCTAATTACCTTCAAATACCTTGAAGAAACCATCCTGAACCTCATGGAGACCATCATACATTTCTGCCATGTTCACATCGCCTCTCGTGTGGGTTGAACACCTTTTGAGTGATGATCAAATACGCGACGGATGCCGGCATCAGGGCTGTCCGATTGGACAGATCAATCATGTCACAATTTCAGTCTGCGTTGGCAAGATTTGGTCACAACCATGAATTTTTGGCATTTGGTAAGATTTGGTCGTCTAAATCTAACACCAGTGAGGCATTGTGAGAGAGTCTCCTGCTCAGCCTCTTCCTCCTTCTGCTTCTCCAGGTGTTTGGCGTAGAGCCGCCGCTCCTGTGACTGAGGTTCATCGTTCAAACGTCAAAATAGGGCTGTAACTGTAGCTACAGTATATATATATATATATGTGTGTTTATTTATCTTTTTTGTACACTCACCGATATACAGCACAAAAAATAAAAAATCAAATTATTAGTTTGTTTCTATTTTGATGCCATCATGCACCTTAGAATATCGGTTATTTTGTAAATGTGTTTCAACAAACTACAGGAGACCCAGAACTGCTGCTGTGCACAGCTCCTTGTTGGAGAGCTTTCCTTCGCCTGATCGGAAACACGTTCGCCCCTCCGCCCCCCCTCCTGTCCGGGGCCCGACTCCATGTTGGTCAGAAAATGACGTTCAACACCAATCAACTCATCATATTTATCCTTCCTCCTGTCCGGGCTGTGGCATGGACTGTCCGCAAGTTGCGCTATCCTTCCTGATTCTGTGAGCGGGGGCCTTTCGACTCATTGTTTGAGACACCTTTTTGGGTCGCCGACCAGTTGCAGATCAACAGCAGAACTGGATGAAACTGCTGGCATTCTTGGAAGACCCAAGGCCCTTCCAGTCTTATGGAGTGTCTGGGATCGTTTCACAGGCAACAGCACACAACATGGGACATCTCCCTAGTCGACTCTGAAAGCTCTGTCGTCGTTCATGTGTGGCCCAAGACCTCGACCACCTGACGAAGTCCCCCGCCTTCTCTGGCAACTTTCTCCAAGACTGCGGTCAGATCCTGGCAAGATCCATTCACTTCGACCAAATCTGACAGCACTCCTATTTTGCAGTCCGGGCAGATCTGGATAAACAGTTCCAACCTGAAACTGCCAGGGGTTGGGATGGTCCATGTTCACTACAGGTGTAGGTGAAGTGGGACACCCACTTTACAGACTCAAATGGGCCAAAGCTGCACCTCTTCCGATTGAAGTCCAAGATCCTCCAACCCTTCCTCAGGCTATACCTAGAAGCACCTGGGGCAGACATTTCTGCCTCAGTCCGATCTGCCGGGAGGATTCGCGGATTTAGGGGAAGCCCGCGCCAGGTAAGAATTTCCGCGGCCAGCAGGGAATTTTTGCCTCAAGCAAAATCCAACATAGCAACTCAAAAACCATTGCCACTGCCTAAGACCAACTAGGTTGTCTCTTCCATGATTGCAGACCACATATCGTTCTGCAAGGACATAGCTTCACATCTCAAGATCTGACACCCCACGATTTTGACACTTCAAAATTCATGACATTCACAAAGGGGCTGCGACATATGTTCAAGCCCTTCAAAGGCATCAAAGGCACTGTTCTTAAATCCCGCCTTCTACCAGGAAATTTCCGCTGTTTTCCCGCGTATGTCCGCCTCTTTCCCGGGTATTTCTGCCTTTTTCCCGTGCATTTTTGCGCCAGGTGTTTTCAACTTTGGACTGATTTTAGTCCTTTTGTGCTCATTCCGCACAAGAAACCTTCAAAAACAAAGACACGTATATGATATGATGGTAGCCAGACTTGCAGGTAGAGGTGGAAACTTAAGCGCTCAAATTGTTTTTTCATGTTTTTTCTCATTGCGGTGACCTTTCCAGGCAGAAATGCCCAATGTAAACCACAAGAATATTCAACTCCTCTAGAATATGTAGTCTTTGTCTCAGTGGATTCCTGAAAGGGAATATTCGCGGCAACAAACACATTTCCGCGGCAAACAGCTGATTTCCGCCCCAGGACGGGAAGAGCCGCTCTTCCCGGAAAAGGCAAGAGTTTCTGCCCAAAGGATCTTCTAGGTATGTATAGACACTCCTCCACACCCGAAAACCACCAGCGAAAAACCCCGCCAACACCGCGCCCTTCCCGAAACCCCGCCGTGCCCCTGCCTTGCCGCGGCTCGTGCTCTTCTCCGCGCGCTCCGCCTCAAGCTGCGCCAGGCGTTCCTCGCGCCGCCGCCGGAACTCCTCTCGCTGGACAGCCGCGGGACGCCGGTCACGTTGCTCGGCCAGGAACGGGTCGGACAGGTTGGCAGAAAAAGAACAGCGAAACGCATGGGGCGGCTCACCCCATGAATGAGGGATCGCAAAAAAACATGTGTTCAGATTCATTCTGCCAGATGTTCAACACCTGCGTTTGGTAGCAAGGCAGCACTTGTCAGTTTGCAGTGTCTAGAATCTGCCAAAGAGTCTAAACTTTGGATCGTAGTGGTTAAATGTTGACTCCTCACTTCACCAGGTATCCTGACCAGCTAACAGTATATGACACCAACCATATACAGTGCAACAAAATATACGTTTGACTGCTAGTGAAGTTGTTCATCAAAAATAGCAATCAACTTGATATGTGATAAGAAATTGCAAAAGAGACTTCACAACAGCTATTGCACTTAATATTAGGAGAATCCCAAGGTTGGATCAGTCATCAGTCCGGACTGATCCACATCCTCGATGGCTGTGCCGTAGCGCGCCCCACCCCACCCCCCACTCCTCGCGCATGGCATCCGAGATCGTCTCCTGACCGAGGTCGGAGGCCGGTGCTCGATGGTGCGTGTGGGCCATGACACCGGGAAATCCTGGGTTGATCACCAAAAGTAAACGGACAAACTATTAAGGAGCTCAACCTACCCTGGCTTGGGGAGACGGGTGCATTGACCCACGACACCATATCCTACGATGAGAAGATCGATTCATCCGGATGAAAGCAGTGTCCCATGGGTTTGATCCCACGATGTGGCAGTAACGAGAAGAAATCGAGTCCCATCGATGCTGAAGCTGTGCCCCAATGGATATGTTGGATCAACATCTGTGGGAAACCCACCCCACCACACTACATGTGAGTACTACATGGAAGTGAATCAGCATGGCCCCATGGCCCTGAAAGAGTGACCGTGAAATCCTCCAAATAGGTGGTGAACTCCAAGTCCATGATGATTCCAGGAGTGTAACAGTGTAACAGGACACCCATGATGTGAAGATTCATCGAACCTTGTGACTTCCAGTCAAATACCCCTTCTGTTGAAGAATCAAGCTACAATGACAACACCTGAAATGTCTATTTTAAGTTGTGACCGTGTCTTTCTTGATTGTTGAGGGTGCCAACTGTCCATTTGGAAGACCATCCCCCCTCTTGGCCACTGGCCTCCTCAGCCTTTCTGGGAGCCGGCCGGAAGCTGGAGTCGGCGCCGCGCGCGCCGGCCTCGCGGAGGCCAGAAGCTCAGCAACAAAACATCTCCTCTTCGTTGAATCAAGAGCAAACCGAATATGATGTTGTACTTTAATAGGAAAATTGATGGACAATCGTTAAATTAAACCCCCCTCACCATCCCTCACCAATCATTTGCGGGTATGTTTTCCTTCTTCCAGAGGGTATAGAAGGGTCTAGACCTCTTCCTATTCGAATACACACCCAAATGGGATTTGTTCATCTCAGCAAGTAATGCAACAACATGCAAGAACGCAAAAATGACAACCCATTGCCTCTGGCTCATCATCTTCCTCTTCCTCTTCACAGTCAGGATTCCTCAAGACTGAGGCGATTGAGGCGACTAAATCCTCAAACTCTGAAGTAAACTCTAGGAGTCAAAGACTATACAAAGAACGATCTTTAAGTGACCCGAAAAGGAATTCCCTTTACTTAAGTCAAAATATGTCCTTTGGACTTCTAGGGTGGAGGTTTTGAAGTGACTCCAATTCCCACGCCCAGGCCGCGCTTGAGGTCTTAACACGGCAGGCATTTTGTGCTGGAATTTAGATTCACCTGGCCAGCCCACCTGGAAATCAAACACTTTGAAATGACAGTTCACTGCCAGGGAATTGGCAACCTTGTTAACCTGCGCTACAAGTCTTCCATAAACACCCTCAAAATTAACCAAAAGTATACTATGAATGAGGGTACACTACCTCCATGCCCCACTTGCACCAGTCGAAAGTCGGACGTCGAAGATGTTCACCACTCTTGAACTGAACTCTGGGGCCTCTGGGGTCATATGTAATCATACAGTACCCAATATGTTTAAAGGCACTCACCATTATATGCCTCTTGGTGCAACTGTGCCACTTCGCTGATGTTGGCAATCATCTTATCTCCTAGTGCTCTCCAGTTGTGAGGGGTATCTGAAGTGGCAGGTCTTTAGAAGCCATCGTTTAAATAAGGAACCAGGCCTCCGGGTAGGTCCAAGACTGCAAACAGGATGTGTATGGATCCGGAAGAACCCCCTGGCCCTGGCTGGGTAGACTGGTCGATTTTCCGAACCTTGGAGGTCGTTGCCCAATGGGAGGACACACCCATGTCTCCCGGATTGACGATCAACAGCGCCTTGCCGCTGGCAGCATTTTGAGAATGAGACAAAGCATCTTAAAAAGCTGAACATAAAATTGCTTATGGGGGATACCAAGGTGTAGGACCTCCACTGGTGCAAGACTTAGGTCTTGTACTCCAGTAAGCAAGTCACCACAAGCCTGCGCAGAAGTCCCTAGGAATCCATCAATAGTTGATTCGATTTGTAGCTCCAACATGCTCCAACCCCCGCTCCATGACCAGTCCACGGAAAACCATGCAACACTATGTATCACCATGTCTCTCTGGCTCATCCTGGCTGCCAAGCCACATCATTGCCTCTATGGTCGCCTGCTTCTCTGCCTCCTCTGCGGCCTTCGCCTGCCTGCGCCAAGCCAAGCAGTTCGGAAAGGGAACAAACCTGGGAAAGGCATGGTGATATGAACATGCCTTGAGACATCTTTAGACTTTGACTTTGAATGAAAAAAGTGTGTCCGAAGATGATCCAAGATACCCAATTACTAGTATATATTTGGGTTCCCCTCAAAGACGTCCAAATTCGCCCACCCGGGCGGCGCCACGCCTGCGGCTTGCTTTGTCCGCCTTGGGCGCCGCCTTGGCAGGCACTGCCTTGGGCGCCTTCTTCTCCTCGCGTGGAGGATTCCGAGTATTTTCAGGGATGTCTTTCAAACCTTGGCCAAGTTTTCAAGATTTCTTTGTTGAAGGATGTTGAATGGCAAGACCCTTCAACGGCAAGGTCGATCATGCTGATGCTGGAACGTCTTCTTCAACAAATCATAGATGCAACAACAACAAACATATTATGCAGCATGGTTTCAGTTGCTTGGATTTTGCTCACTCCTATCCAACAACCGAACCGCAGGGCAATGTTGCTGAGTTCGACAAGAAAAACATGGGTGCGGCCATGTTTACCTTGTGTCAAACAATGATGTCTCCTACCACCGGCTCAAAGAACCTGACGAGCTTCATTCATGGCTTCCACTTGACGACTGTCCTCTAGTCTTCCTCAATGAACCGGTCTTCATGGCTTTCACTTCCGCTCCTCGGCCGGACCTGACTCGATCGGACCTGACTCCGCCACGCCAACTCGCAGAAAACACGGAAAACGCCTTCTCGGAGGCCTTCTCGGGCGGTTTCTTCTCGGGCACCTTCTTGGGAGCCATGGCGCCGGTCCGATGACGACAGGCGAGGACGCTCTGGGCGACGGAGATCGACTGAGCTGACTTGACGAAAGGGTGGACCCTGGTCGGAAAATGGACGGGGACGCTTTCAGTATGGTCCTTTCTTTGAAATATGGCACCGTACCAGTATGAGGGATTCTGCAGAGTCATTCATGTCATTTGTCTTCCAGTTCCCAAAACTGGGAAAGTACCACTTCAGTCAGGTGAGTCTCTTCTGAAGATTCTGAGGGAAACCTGTGCTGCAACAGATTCTGAATCAGACTGGAAGGACTTGCCCTAGTGAAGTGTGAACCTCTCAGTTGCGATTTGGAGCGATGACCCTCCCCCACTCAGGTTGATGCTCTAAATACACGACTGACTGGATAGTGGACGGTCGACCCTTTGTTTTTCTTGATAAATGGTCATATCATCCGTCTCATCCCTTGCACTTGATACCACTTGATCAAGCATGTTCGTAAGCTCAAGCCAGAGAAGGCTGCAGAATGTCAATTGTCTTGATCACAAGTGAACTGTGCTACACCTAACGAGTTGTGCAATCTCTTCATCCCGAAGGTTTCCACAAACAGTCCAATACATGCAAAGACTCCCAACATTTTCCCTCAGCTGTCAGAGGGAGACTCTGGTTCTTGCCTCCATGCTGCCCCAGAGCTTGTAGATTGATCGCGGGAAACACAAACCGTTCGTTGGAGCTGGAAGCAAGTTCGTTTGGCGACGCCGTCATGCCATGCCATGACCCACAGCTTCTGGCCGCCGACTCGTGTCGAAAACCCCAAATCGAGTGTCGAAGAATATGATCCCAAAAGCAAACAACCAGTACAACGTGTAGCTGTAGAGCTCTTCCAGACGTTGAGGAGGTTTGCTTGTGCACCTATCCTGTAGAGCGCTGAACACCAGCCACTTGCAAATCGGGGAGAAGTACAACAAAATGGGTCATATCATATATGCATATATGGGCCTTTGCCACTTCAAACGCCCGTCCTATTGGTGTCTTTTCGGTGTGATTCCAAAACCTTCCTTGGCAGCTAGAAGCGCTGCCACCTTTTAGCTCGAGAGCTCGTAGGGCCCATGCCAAAGGCCAGGCACATAGCGAGTGCTCTGCCAAAGCCTTGCCGGTGCTCTGTGGTCATGGCAAAGCTATATGTACAGCACCTTAAGAAAAGGGTAAGGGATCAAAATAAAAATAAAATAGAATCAACAAAAAAATATTCAACGGGGATCAATAAAAAAATAAAAAGGGAATAAAAAAAAATATTCTAGCCCACTGAGGATGGTTGGGGTAGTAGTAGTAGTAGTAGTAGTAGGAGTAGCAGTAGCAGTAGCAGTAGCAGCAGCGTAGCAGAGCAGCAGCAGCAGCAGCAGCAGGAGGAGGAGGAGGAGTAGTAGTAGTAGTAGTGGTAGCAGTAGCAGTAGTCACGGCGTTCACACGAAGTTAGGCCCTACATGGCGTTGTCAGAGCGCTCAGAGCAGAGAAGTGTTTGGAATGGGTGTAGCAGCATCGGAAGGTGCCTGGATGGGAATCGCCTCAGGAAAAAGATGTGGTGGACCAGTCTATTTCTAATGGGTGCATTGCGGTCGCAGCCGTACAGGGTCTTTTTCACCAAGCTGGTGAACCATTTTTCGAGTAGGGCTACTCAATGACTGGACGGCTACCTTATCGTTGGGTACCTACTTTCTTCCCAGGGAGCTGCCTCTAGTAGAAAGCAATCAAGCCTCTATTTGCGCAAGCAGGGGACCAGGAGATCGACAGACGAGCGCCGTAGGAGAGCAAAAGACCAGCGGACCAGGAGACAGAAGGACTAGGATACCAGGGGACCAGCGGACCACAGGACCAGAGGACCAGGAGACCGGAGGACTAGGGGACCAGTGGACTAAAGGACCAAGGGACCAGGGGACCAAAGGACCAGTGGACCAGAGGACCAAGGGACCAAAGGACCAAGGGACCACATTACCAGAGGACCCGCAGACCAAAAGGCCAGGAGAGCAGCAGAAGAGGCCTATCAAGGAATATTTTTTTTTTGATTCGCTTTTTATTTTTATTTTGATCCTGTTTTTATTTTTTTTTTGATGCTCTTTTTATTTTTTTTTGATACCTATGCCTTAAGAAAACATGCTGGATAAGTTTTAGACTCTACACCCATGAGGGTTGGTCAAGTGATGTTATATATTGGATAACACTTTGAGATACCATGAGATACCTATACATTGGTTCGGGTCCCAATTTGGTGGGTCAAATGTTGAAACTTTGAAAATTTTCGATTGGGTAATTAGGTGGATTTGGTGCGTTTGGACAAGGAAACTTCTTTACTTTGCTATGAAAGCTATAATGTACTTAATAAACGTTAATTGAATAATCCAGGCTCATCATATTCAGCAACCCAGTCAATGCTCATGGCAGCACTGAACAGTGCCGTCGCTGAATAATATGTATCAAACATTCGGCTTTTCCACCAAGCAAATCACATGCACAAACGAACAATCCAATACTGGACCGGTCTGTCTTCCGGTGTGTAAGCAAACCCTTCGCTCGACCAGTTTTACAGCACCATTCTCTCCTAAACTCCGCCTGGGTTTACCCGACTCTGACTCACAAAACCGCCACTCAAACATATACCGTCCATCCAGACTCCGACAAAAAAAATTCCTCTCCGTCTTGTCCGGCTCCTCCACAATGCTCCTCCCATCTGACCATCTGCGGGCCCTCCGCGCCCGCCTGCGCCAGGGGAGGCACTTGAGCAGCGGCCGCTGAGTGATTTGCTCCAGGTGTCGCAAGCGGCCCAAGAGCAGCCGCACTGCCGAAGCGAAGAGCTGCCTTTGAGGTCCCGGAAAACCGATGGCTGCGGAGTGAGTGGAGGCTGAGCAGATCGATTATAGCGATTTTAGCGTGAAAGAAAACCGGTTGGTGTTAGGAAGGGTCTCAAAGAGACTGGAACAGGTCGTGATATGAAGCAGGGCTTTACTTTTAATGTGAAGGCGTGAACATATGAAGGAGGGCGTGTGTCGTGTGTGTGTTTTTTCTTTTTCTGAAGATTCTGATCAATCCCTGAACCACTATCAGTAACGAAGAAAAACAACAATCTTGCAACAGCCAAAGAAGGGCTGTGTTTTCGATGGTCTTTTTGGTTTCAATGAGCTCGTCCGCTGAGTCGGGGCCCCAGATCCGGTGAAACGTCCCAAAACGGTCGTGAGTTTTTCTGCAACGAAATGAGGTGTAAATAGCTGACATATTCTGGACACGTATAGGTTCATAGCTGGTTTTAGATGTTTTAGTCCAAATGGATTTTCATTCTTCGGGAAGCCGTTTCCTCGCCCGAACGGGATCGGGCACCAACATGGGGGTTAGCCTCCGGATCCGAACGAACGAATGCAAGTGACGTCAAGCACAGGGCCTTCAAGTTCGGTACTTCCTTTTCACGGACCATGCGGCTTCGCAGTCGGGGCAAAAGAAGGCGCATGAGGTGCTCCAAAACCGAGGAATGACGAGGTTTTTGGTAGAGATGAAGCGATTCCGTACTCCCCCGTGCTACACCCTTTCAAGTACACTCCCTCCGGTCGACACGCAGTACTTCGCCCACGGATGTCCGTGCTGTACTTCGCCCAAGTGCGCATCCACAGCAGTGTAAGCATCAATTTGGTCTAAAACCTCCTGGCTTCGACCCTCTAACATGCGATGGTCCGAAGACACAAGGTCTTTTGGAGAAGGCGGATTGGTCTAGATTTGAACTGCAAAAGGATGGGATTCTTCTTTCATGAACGCGTTTTGGAGCTGAAGAAAGTAGCGAGCGATCAGTCTTACAAGTCTTGTAGGGTTGTATGAAGCCTGAGTGGCCATTGGAGTGTGCAAGTATCGACTGCCGCCGTTCTGACAAAAAAGGATGCTGTAATGTACTGTACCTCCTGCGATGGAGCCTCAAGCATGCGTCCTATTTCCACTGGCGGGTCTCCCAACATGCCCTCACACACCTTCAAAGCCCTTCGGCGAACATGAAGTAACAAAATGATGAACACAAACAATAGAAGAGGAGTGCGCAGAAACATACATGAACCACTGTTACCTTCAAATAATGAGCGTCATTCAATTCCGGACTGCCCAAACATGCCCAAGCTGGTCGACCACGTGATCCACCCCGTCCACCCGCGTCCTGCGGCAGCTGGTCCGCGCCGCGGCGCACTACGCCGTGAGTGAAGCGCGGCAAGCGCAGGAAACGAGGCGCGTCGCAGTCGCAGGCCGCCGGAAGAGATCCTGGGTCGTGTGCTAGTCGCAGGCTGTGTGGCTTCAAAGAAAACCACCTGATCTTCTGGTTGGATCAGCAAACCCATCTCCCAATGTCCTGTGAAGCTTAAACGCTTGTTCAGCGCTTGTTCGCTGATCCGAGCTCACCAAGCTCAAGGAGCTCCATGTCTTTCATGTGCAGACTGATCCATCCCTCAGGTCGCGACTCGCCGAACCCTATCTTAATCTATCCCTAGGGATCCAGTCGTACCTTCTCAGAAGGTACGACTGGACCCTCAAAACCCACATAAGAGTGTCTCCAATCACCGGACATGAGAAGGTACGACTGGATCCCTAGGGTATAGATAAAAAGCTGATCTATTAGGTATATATGTATTGGAATAGGGAGACCTCCAATCAATGGGTAGACTCCGGGTAGACTAGTCTATTTCCCTTCCTCCAGGGGGTCGGGTGGAAGCAGCCAGTGGATGGAAGCAGCCAGAGGGTGGTTGAAGGACCTATAGAAACAGCTGATATATCAGGTGTGTGTTTGAATAGAAGGACCTCCAATCAATGGGTAGACGATGGTAGACTGTAGACTAGTCTATTTCCCTTCTTGTCCCTTCTTCCAGGGGGTCGAACTGGGAGGAAAGAACAATACTTCCCCAATAAAGCTTCCAGTGGGTGGAAGCTGGTGGAAGGGCTCCATGCCAATTCCATGTTTCAGGCACAATCGCACCGAGGGGCCATTGGCCTGGTAGTGGAGTAAGCACATGGAATGCTCGTAGAGGTCCGTCAAGCCGACCCTGAGAGGTCCGTCACAAAAAGGATTCGCTGCTCTTGATGTGTCTTTGCTTGCTGGAAACGTGTTTCGGCATCAAAATAATGTCCTTTCGAAAACGTGTGTCCTTTCTCATCTTTTTCGCGTGGTTTTCGTGTCACAAACAAAGGATTGGCATGGATGAAGGAACGACATGGGTCAGTGGGTCCGTGTGACATGAAGACCACCACATGACATGAATCCGTGTGACATGACACATGTGTCACATGACATGAAGAACATGGGATCCGTGTGACATGTATTTAAAGACCTTTTCTGTGGATCTGTCCAAAGACTCCACCTGACTGCATATGACGCTCACAGACGATCCGAAGACCACCACGGTGACTAGACGTGACTCTTGGTGAATCCGGTGCTGCGTTTGATCCCTGAAGTCCAAGGACTGGTGACTCTTTGTGGCATTCGTTGATTGTAGCTCAGCACATCACTGGATCACGCCGAGCGCCAACGCAACTGCAGGTTTTTTGTTTTTTCTGCAAATGCACCCAAAAGTTTCGGCTGTCAGTGTCCATTGATTCATTGGAGTTCTATAGGATATCATTCTTCAAAGAAAGCAACCGCTAATGACACCCCAGCGCCCAGTGCTACCAGTGCTGCAATTTCCTCGTGCTTGTGGACTCATCATCCAACTATGACGGGCCAATTCTCACCCCAAAACCAACGATCTCTGACCGCAAGAGGACCGCAAGAGGACCGCAAGAGGACCGCAAGAGGACCGCAAGAGGACCTGTGAGCTTGGAGGACCAGACGGTTTTTGCGTTTTATAGCAACTGTGCTGCTTCATGTCTTTTTGGATATTACAACTTCATGATATTTCATGACTCTTTCTACATTCCACAAAAATGCTACCAAACATCTGTTACAAATGAGACTATGGTCCAAATCCCCAAAGCCGCAGGCGCCCTGCTATGCTCTGCTATGCCGTCACCCAGGCACCAGTCGAACTCGTGAAGCGTTCGGTTGGCTTCCTCCAAGGAGGGCTCCAAGGGCTCCTCTCGTTTCGAGGTTCACCGGCCAGGAGGAACAAGCAAAAAGACATGGTGGCACCATGTGCGACATTGACATAATATGAAGCTTCTTCAGAGTGTGCACCAACAAAAGCAACATGTACAAATTTGTAGGGTTTTGTGCATCTGAAGTAGTGGACCCATGTAACTTCAGGAGGATGCGGAACCAGATTCCACACCAAAAAGGCCAATGTTGAACATGTTAGAAGAATTAGAACGTCTCAATCCAACAATCCAACAATCCTCCTGTTTCCCTCACTTCTATCGACACGAAGTCGTACTGCCCAACCATGCCACCACACCCTGGTCTTCACCACCCCCGTCCTCGACTTACTGTATACATCCCCCCCGATAAAAAACGGGAAAAAACATGCGTCTGCATTCGTCTTCGGCCCTGCCTGGCGGTGACGAAAATGCTGCCCCAAGGAGCCAGCGGAGTTGCTGCAGGTGAGCACGTGAGACTGCATGTTGTGCAGGAAGGGAATCACCTGAGTTCCGGCATGGCACAAGCGTTCGTTCCGTTACAAGAAAAGGGCACGTCTTCCAAGAAAGAAAACATGCTTTTCCAATTTGTTGCGAAAGCCAAGAAACAAGGAGAAACCATAAACAACCCAAAGAAAAGCAGTCCCGGTGTCTGAAAGCGAACAACGGAACGTGTGCAACGGAACGTGCACATCATGTGAAGTCGATGCGGAAGTCGAAAAGCGCCCGACTGGGATGAGCTGGGATGAGGTCACGAGCACCCTTGCTACTAGTATCTTCTTACTAGTAGAAATGGCCTCCAACCTACTAGCGATGGCTTCCAACCTAGTAGCTTCTTCTCCTAGCTTAGAAGCTCATGTGCGCCTTTTGGATGATGAAGGTACTCTGTTTCTCTTAGTGGTTCATATAAATTCAAGATGAATCCACACGCTTTGGTGGAGAGGTCTATTTCTTTTGCTGAAATCTTGACCAGGAGAAGGAAGGTCCATGTGTGATATTTTCTGATACAATGCGACAGGTGGTTGATTATGTCATTGAAACTCGGCGCTACCGGCAAGATTCCTAATTCTTCTGCAAACACAAAATTGGTTTAGCACTAGGGTTTTCCAGAATCTTTGTGCTGAGACATGTGGAACTATCGACCCCTTCTTCTCCTTGCAGATTTGGAAGCAAAGCTGATTCCAAAAAAAGGCGGGCACAGCTTTGTTTGCTTTGTTTGCTTCGTCAGCGGCTATGATGCTCACTCTACCAGGGAGGTGCAAAACCTTACACATTCACAAGGTCGTTCATCAAAGATCACCTGAAATGCAAGAAAACAACTCCAACTAGTCACATGCATACACTACATAGTTCTCTATTGCATGGAATACGCATGTCAAATCATTGATTCCTCCAAAAGCCACACACACATACAAAATTCACAAAATCAGTCAAAAGGCTCCTCGGACATGTCACAAAGCCGGAGGTTTTCCATTTCCATGTGTTCGGAGCGTACATCTCTCATCATCTCTAACCAGGTCACCTGCACATCCACATCCTGCTTTGCCAGCATTCCCTTCAGATCAGCCTGCGATCGGAACGATCCGGATATATAAGAACGATCGTGACCTCCAGAGAAGACCAGATCTGCAGAAACCATCAAAACAACACCGTTCAACATCTGACGTCGCAAAGCTGCACCGGGCCCTGCACCTACTGCCCTGCGCCGCTCGCTGCGTGGGTACCCACGCACCGACAACAACCAGGAAAGCACGAGCGAAGCACCACCCACCCAGCGACGCATCGGGCTAACGCACGAGGGAGGAAAGCCTCCCAGTCCGGCTGGAAGCTGGTGCAGTAGCTGCCACAGGCATACTCCGTGCCACGCAGGATGCCCTGCACGCAGGTGACAAGGAGATGACCCTGTGAGTGGGTTGAGGGCAGAGCGTAAAGAGCTTGAGAGGCAAATGCTCAAAGGCCTCTTCTGATGCCTTAATGTAGACTCTTGACTAATAACCCCCCGATGAAGAGGTTTCTTTGATCCAAATGGCGTAGGTACATTAATTACGATACCTGGGTTTTGAACGAACCCCTTCTGATCTCCAAGCGGGGATGATCCTGAATCATTGAAAACAGCAGAGGGGATGTGTAAATCGAAGCTTAAACATCTTAAGATTGCATCAAGCCACGCATGCCGGCAACATGTGGGAGGTCAAAGCTTAGTTGAGGGGGGAGGGAAGAGTTGCGAAAAGAACACACCAACTACTTGCATCCACCATGCACAGGACATATATATGGGGGCCCCATGATCTCTTATTTCTCAGAAGAGTTGAAATCGTTTCTTCAGTCGTTCGACACACAACATCACACAACAACACCTCCGCTTACAGCGGTTGTGCAATGCTTGGAGCCTCTGCCAAATACTGGGGCACATCCTCCACGATGCGTCGCCACGAGTTCTGATGTGCCACGTGGCCTCCAGTCGTACCGTCTCGTGAAACGGTTGGACTGGGACTGGGTGCCCGGGTGCCCTGGTCGGGTCCAGTCATACCGAACCTGAGGAGGTACGACGAAGTCGGTGTAGGGAAAACATCGCCGGTGACGGTGACTGCGAAATCGCGAGGTCCGCCACGTCGCGGACAGAAACTCCCCTGGTGTCGCTGCGGCGGACCAGGTGGCCAAACAGCAGCAGTTCGTGACGGATCGACCGAGATCGATCCACGTCGTTTGGGAAAAGACTGAACAGCAAAAACTCGCAAAAGACCGAAGGCCTGGAGCACCAGGCCTTCAAAACGAATAGCACTCCCTGGAACTAACATGGAAGTGGAGAATGACCCCTTGGAAGACCATGTTCCACCACAATTAATGTTAGTTTCATGAGTAACTCAAATCCATCCAGGAGATTCCCAACCGCTTGCCCCCATTGAACTGTGAAGAAGACCGCTTAAGGCCGGCATGTGCACCAGTGATCGCAAGTGACCCCGAACTGCAGGGCACCAAGAACTCATCCTGGACCTTCCAAAGGGAATCTCATGGAGCTCCACCAGTGGCGTAACATCTGTAGGGTACCCGCCAGGGTAGAAGTTGCTGGATGGAAACTTAAAGCATCCAACACCCAGACATGGAACACTGGGAGAAGATCGACAAGGCGTGCGCGCGGGGTGAGCGCAGCACCGTGCCATGGAAACCGGTCGAGCTCCTGAAGCGGTTTGGGCCAAAAAGTGTTTCCTTCCACAGAGCTTGAGACTCTTGCATGGACCTAAGACTCTAACTACCTGCAAGACACCTGCAATACTCAGGTGCCTCTGGAGTGAATGAGGGCTTCTCGCAAGTAGTGGAGGTCATGTGTTGCGTCTTTTTGGAGATGAGGCAAATCAAAAATATCCTGAAGTACATGACTGGAGTGACCAAGATCAGTCACAAGCTCAAAAGCAGGGCAATTAAGCAGTTGTCTTGTTTCGCATGTCTTAAGCAGGCCCTTGAAACGGATCTCAATCCCGCCCTCCATACCCCAAAGGGATCCCGTTCAGAACCTCTGCTCTCTCAAGGTCGGATGCATTTTACATCACTTGAGACACGACGACGCCAGCGCAGACGGCTAAAAAACTCCCGTCCAACCAGTTAACACGCAAGTCCACTGGCAAACGCACAAAGCATCACTCACCTCTTGGAGGACTTAACTGGTAAATTAACTTTCATGTTCAACCAGAATTCCTTCCTAGGTTCCTAGCCGCATTCTTCATTTGTGTCGAGTCTAGCTTCTTTCACCTCTCACTCTCAGTCCACCCTCCGTCACCCAACTCGAGTCCAGCCCCGCCCACCGCGCCGCCCACCGCGCCGCCCACCGCGGACACCGACCCCAAGACGGCCCGGTCCTCAAGACATCTTTGGCACAGCACTCGCAGTTTAAACCACACAGCGCTGCGCCTCGGTCGTGCCCAAGAGACGGGCGGTTGACCGGGAAGCCCGGGTGCCGAGGGGAGCAGCTAAGAAGATCTATGAATGATCAGGTGGGACCTCTTCTGGTTCAGAAGAAGAACCAGTGGAGGCTACATCTGCACACCAAGGCCTCTAAGATGTGGGCAAAGGTGGAAGGAACAATCCAAGTGTTGCGATGTGTCAACAAAACAGGGCAAGGAGGAGCCATGGTTCGCATCTATCCGCTCTATGAGTAGTGTTGAACCTAGAAACACCACAACAACTCATCTATATAGGTATAGCTCAAAAATGCTTAAAGTAAGTGCTGCTACCTCTGGAATTCCCGCTCAAAGCAACATGCTGGGTGGCCAGAGGGGTTTTGGACCCAAAGCGAACGGTCATACCCCGCAAGTTAACCTATCCGGATCCAAAGCCTAAATTGAGTCCCTCCCAACAACTAGGCAATTCACCGGCAGGAAAAGGGCACATCAACCACAACTGACAAACAAAGCAAAACAAAATAGCTCGAGGCCAATTTCATTTTACAAAAAACACGCACATCAACAAATTATGTCGTAGACTCTATCTTTAGCCTAGCCTAGAACCCGTCTGGTCTTGCTTGACTCTATGTTTAGCCTTCGACCTCAAACATGCTCCCCGGCCAAAGAAGAACAAACAAAAAAAGCAGGCAAACAAACAAACAAACTAACTTATAACTAACCAACCAACCAACTAACTATCTGAACAAACAAACAAAACAAACAAACAAACAAACAAACACCGAATGCAACGCCCCTCTGAACCCCTCATGCTCCCTTCTTCTCCCGCTCCGTCTCCCTCACATCCACGGGGCTCACCGTCCGCGCGGCCGCCCGGCACCCGAACGGAGCCGCCGGTGCCGTTGGCGCCTCCGCCGCCGCGGCCGCAGCGCGGCAGGCGCTGTAGCGCAGCAGCGGGGAGGGCTGGGTGGCGAGGTGAAGCTCCAGGGATTCACCACCCGTCTTCACCTCGTGGTTCGCGCGGGCCACGCGCGGGCCGGGCCGTTCGCGCGGGTTCCGGCGGTGGGGAGAAGCCGTGGGGAGAAGGAGAATCCGTTTGGGAACCCAACGAGAATCGATTTGGAAGGAAACCTCATGAAGCCTATTAGACTGGCTAGACTGGACCGAGGAGTCATCAACTTTATCTTTATAGGCTCTGCTTGGAGAAGAAAAAGAAGCGACGACTGACCAGCTCACCCGATCGGTTCATAGGCGTCCTCAGATGTTCCGTTATGTTGTGCAGGTGCATCTCCAACAGCTTCTGTGTCGTTTTATGAGCAAATCTGGTCCTTCAGCTGAGTCTAAGCGAGCTATCTAGGCTTGTGTGCAACGCAAGAGTTCTGAACACACTAGCTTGTCTTTCGAGTGTGTTTTCCACATTGGCTTTGCGGAGGGACAGGACTTCAGAAAATGACCAACTCTAGGTCCCATGTTGTCATGCCTTGCTTCGCCAAGACCCTGATAATCCCTGATACATGCTGCGATAAAATTCCAGCATGTCACTCACCTCATAGTATGCTTGTAGAAAGACTGTCACATGTAGCAACCAAAAAGATGTACATATCAATATTTATCCATTTGCCTCAAACAGATCTGCGTTCTTTCCTTTTGCCAAGGGACAATGTGTGTGAAGTGCATCGGCATCGACCCATTGAAGGTTGCCACTGGACTCCTCGGGCGGATTGCGCTCCCTGGAAGAAGTTTTAGGGCCCCGATTTCGACTCGTTTCAGACCATGAAAACCGCCGCAAAGGGGTGGAATGCCAAACAAATGGTGTCTCATCCATTTCCATGATTGTAGGTTGGAGGCCATCGTTGGAGGCCATCGCTATTACAGTAGGTTGGAGGCCATCGACAAGGAGTGTAGTTCGCCTGCGCCCTGCGCCCAAGGGGTCTGGTGTAGCCGGTGGCGTAGCTGGTGGAGTCTGGTGTGGCGTAGCTGCCAGCTTGCCGACACGATGGCACCATAGAACGATACCAAAAGCTGAAGGTTTTTTAATACTCTCTGTGTTATACTTTGCAAATTGATATTGGAAGTAGTTGGAAGTTGCTTCTATCTCCTTGAATATCCACGGCTGTGGAAGAACAACATTGAATCAACCACATCCTCCAATATTCAATGGCACCGAGTATTCACCTCTTCACGCCATCCCCAAACCAGTGATTCTTCATGTGATTCACTGATATGTAATATGGCATAGGACTGCCGATCAGGCCAGGGGTGGTGCCAGGGGGGTCTGGCTTGATCGGCAGTCCTATGCCAGTCCCAGACTGGTCGTGTCTGGGTATTACATATCACTGAATCACATGACGAATCACATGAACAATCACCAGCACCACTGAAAGGATGTCCATTAATAGCCCCCTGAAGGTTAAGGGGTGTCCATTAACCACCCCTTGGGGGTCCTGGCACTTGTTAATATGTTTTGCTTTATTATAGTAAAACACCGGCATCCCACATGGATCCGTTTGATCCCCCAGATCCAACCGGCATGCACCGACCGCGCCCAGCGACGCGGCAGGGAGCCCTCGAATGCCCGGTGGGCTGCGCCGTGGCGATGCGCCGCGGTCCAAGGAGGAGAGCTTCACCTAGTAGCAAGAAGGCTACAAACGTAGCTCCTGGCCTTACTACTATAGTAGCAAACGGCTACTGTTCATGACGATTGCAAATCAGGTTCATGGAGTCTCTGGGTTCATCTGGGATCATTCTTCACTCTACACTCATCTCCACTGTCTCCACTCTCTGCGGACACACCCACCAAGCCTGGTACAGCTGCGCTGGCAGTAAGTCGTCCCAATGAGGGCCTCATTGTGTCGCCACTGCTGAAAAGACCATGAAGAGCAGCGAGGTTCACAAGCTTTTGCAACCACCAAATAGACCGTCGAATTATAAATAGAATCCACAAGGTCTAATAGAACAAACTCAGCTTGTTGAGGAAAGTTGCCATCCATGGGGGCTGTGTCCTTCCACCTCCAGGATTTAACCATATTGACCCTCTTTCTTTCACAATCATCGAAGTGGAATTTCCCCCTGGAAAGACCATAATGGCTCTCCACCAACAGGGGATGGTCCACTTCCCTGTTTGGAAGGTGATCGATCCGGCAGGCATTCTTCCGCCGAGCGCTTGGTCCGAGCGCGTTTCGACCACCAACATGTCGAGCACGCGCGCCCGAAAGCCACCTGTGCCAGTGACCGGGTTCAGGTAGATCCGTTCACAGTAGGTGAGGAAGCTCTCTGGATGCACCTGCGAACTCGAGGGCCCTGGCTAGGCTCAAACAGGTCTGGGGCAGATAGGGAGCGACCCTCATAGAGCGATGGCCATCTATAGTTACTAGTAGCGATGGCGCCTCCATGGAGCGACACCTCCAAAAACCCCAGACTATCTCTTAGCGAAGATGGGGAGTCCAATTCTGAATTGGGCCATATTGAGCCTCCTACTATTGTCTGAACATGTCTGAACGCAATATTGAGTCCATAGAGTTGGTTCTACAAGAAGGCTAAATCATGTACTCTTGGTAAAGTAAGATGTTGTGCAGAACATCCAGTTCCTTTTATTGTATTAGGCTTCTTCAAGGCAGCAACTTGTTTTTGACAGAACAAGTGAACGAATCGCGGTTGAGCCAAGGGAATGAAGGACAAACGATTGATTCAGTTCGTCAAGCAGTTTGACATTCACTGTTCTCAACTCTACGCAAAGATACAATACCATCATCATCCGCACTACTATCCCCAAACCCTTTTGTGGCCCTGAGACTGGCTATTGTACACGTCCGCTTGCTTCAAACGTCCGCCCGCCTGATCCTCCTGCACCACCGAGCAGCCGTGCAGAACCGTGGTCTTCTCGGTGGTGAAGAGTTCTTCACACAGCTCCGGGCGCCGCGCGAAGGCCCAGGACACGAAGGGCTCCTGCAGCCGGGCGGGCGAGCCGATCGCAGCGGCGGGCCGAAAGGCATCGACCGAACAGATGCCCCAAGTAGAAGGAACGGGCCTCCCTTACCTATCTTACCTGTGCCTTAGGGGGGAAGCATGAACTTCGTGTTGAAAAAAGGGAACCACATGTTCATTCTATAAGCAAACAGGTGTGGAGGATCCCTGAACTATCAAGTTAACACGGACAGTTTCTTTGGCTTCATATGAACGTCTTGCATTGGATAGAACTCGAAGATGTTTTGATGCTAATCCTTGATAGAACTCAGCGCCAAACGGTCGGCACCTCTGGTCGGAAGTCGAAGCTGGTGACACCCAGGCTGGTCGCGCGGATGTTCATGCCTGTGGCGAGCTCTAAAGATGTGAGGATGAATTAGGATGTTTAGACGATAAATGACGATATGCACCAAGCCTGCATGTTCGGCTCAACGGATGGTGGTGACAATGATGCTATGCTATATGCTAATGCTATATGCATATGAATGCGCTTTCTCTGGGGCCCCTAGTAGACAACCACAAAGTTGGCCGGAGGTCCCTGATTCATGTTGTTTTCTTAGATTCGTTGTTCTATTTGCCTTTAAAGTTGTTTCTGTGCCCAGATGCATCAAGCAGGAATCTCATGTCATTGTTCCTCAGTGTATTCAGAAGGGATTCTCTTTTTCAAGGTATATAGATGCGGGAAGCATCTCCAGTTGTCGCAACCTGATACCCACCTGCTCCCCCACATGATACCGATGTGCTCTGCTGCTGCTTCGTGGCGGGTCTTGCTGAGGGTTGGCTTGCTGCTCTTCAGCACCGCCAAGCTGCCATAGACCTCGGTCCCAAACCCCATGCCAGGTTGGACCTCAAAGGGCTAGATCAAAGGAACTCACCAAGTGATACCTGAAACTGTAAGTGTTCTGGGAGTACACTTTCTTACGTATCCGTATGATATGTCTGGATGCGATGAATCAACGTGGACCACTGAGCCGGGATGGATTCAGCTGAGCAGCCGGCCCAGCCCCTACAGTATGGAGTTGATCAAATACGTGAAGCCGAGGGTTGACGAAAGCTAGCTGGTGCTAACTTTCGTGACAGCTAGCTGGTGCTAGCTTTCGTGACATCTGTTGGAATGGACCAAAACTCGGTGGATCCTTTTGTGGCCCACTCCGCCGCGCATCTGTCGGTTCCTCGCTAGCGAGCCCACTCCGTTGATCCCAGCGTCCGAGACATTCGACCGCCGGTGGTTCACCACCGAGACCTAAGTGCCGCGAGGCGAAGGCGGTCTCTGTGAGTGACCAGGTCATGTGACAGGTCCAGTCTTCACAAAACAAACGATCTTGGACTTGCGTTCGTCTTCAGACCGGTGCCCTCAATTTTTTTCTGAGAGAAGATGCCCTATGGTGCCTCTACTCTTCTTCAGTTCCTATTGTCTGAGAAAACCAAAACAGTGCGTTCTTCTCTCTTCCCAAAGAACCATGGAACCATAGTGTCCATGGAACCATGTCCCTGTCATCGAGGAGCCAAATGGACTTCATCTTCCGAGAGAGTCAGCATGTCAATGACATCGCTCTCCTCTCGAAACGCACGAGACGGACGGTGTTCGACCAATTTCCATGTGCCAGGAGTCCAGGTAGGATGAGTAGACCCTTGGGAAGTTTGGCCAGGTTGAGCAATGGAATGATAGAATGCAATTTGATCGCATGCTAAAAGATCTTATCTTACAAATATATATTTAAATACATTTACAAATAAAGGCAGTACTTGGAAACCAGCGTAGGTAGGGATGGTCAGTGCTGTCCTCTCTATCGTGACGACAGCTTTCTGTGACACCATGCCATACCATGCTTGTGCTCATGTCGGACTCATGGCGTGTGATGAGACGCGAATGTTTGAACTTGAAAGAATGTGAAAGATCTATCATCTATCCGAATCTATCCCAAACACTCCATATATGACACATATGCCTAAATTGGGGTGGTGCCAGGGGGGTCAATTGATCGGCAGTCCTATGCCAGTCCCAGACAGCTCGTGTCTAGGTATGTCTTGATTGAGATGGTGCAAATGTTCAGTGTTCAATACCCCCCTCCAGCTGAACCCCAGCTGGGTCACATCTCGTTCACCACGTTCACCACCGCTGCCTCCCGGATGAAGGGCCCATAATAGGCGGCATCCGGACAATCACCTCCGCAGCACGGGCAGCGACACGCAGCGACACGGGGAATGGACGTCCGCATCTTCACATGCTCGACCACCAGAAATCGCCGAACTTCTGTCCCTAAATACACATGAACAAGGCATGGCAGCAATCCCTGTGAAGTCCCAAACAGCCCCCAATATGCCCCAATTTTTTGAGTGATCGATTTTACGCATTTTACTTGATGGTGGCAAATCCAATGCGTGGCGCTGGCAAGAAAAAGGTCTTTCCACCCTAGACAAGTCAAATTCCATTGTACAGCAAAAGCATGCAAAAGCAACAGAAACACAGGCTGCACCTACATCTGACCAATCGCTTGCATGGCTGCAGAAACATACTAACAACACCCAGTCTGTCCCACCCTGTCTGCTCCCACCCTGTCCGACGACCCCTGTCACCCCGACGCCTAGGCACTGAGTATCATGTCTCAAACATTCCAAGCCCTGGATCATCAGCGGAGCGAAGCTCACGGCGCTCAGCTCGCTCAGCTCACGGTCCTTGGACGAAGCTCACGGTGAGTGACATGGGGCGAGTTCGCATGGGAGTTCAAAGGGGATGACAGGGAAGGGGAACTGAACTTCGTCCAGATTGCTCCAGATGTTTCCAACAATTTGACTAGCTGACCAGCTGGTTGGGATCAAGGATTGGCCGCTTCTTCACTAAGAACCAAAACACAAGAACCGATGTGCATGTGGTGGATGAGAAGTTGGACCTTGAACGCTTCGGAGCCTTCCGAAGTGCAAAGCCTGAAGCAAGCAACACCATGAAACAAAAGCAAGTGCTGTAGCAACATGTGTACCAACTGTTTCACTCGATCAATACTCCAAAAAAACGTGGCTCTTTCTCGTATACTCCATCCTTTTTGTTGGTGCATTTTTTTGGTCGGGATTCTACTTGCCCTATGATTGGTACACCCTACGGATGTCAAGACTCCAAGGCTTCGCCCACATCCTTCAGCAGCTGCTGATTGTGCCGCTTGAAGTCACCCTGATTCCACGACCGGCGAAGGCGACGGAGGTTGTTTGGAAATCCGTAGGAAGCACGGACCGAGTTCAGTGGCATGCGGCATGCGCATTGACCGATCGTCACACGAGCCAGTGAAATCCCTCGCAAAACGCAGATCCCGGATCACGCGAAGAGGCACGTCAACGCAGATCAAATATCAAGGATTAGGTACATCTCAACAACTACACACCTCCCACAACTGAACCTGTCGAACTGCCATGTGGATCCACCCTGTGGATCCCTCGACCGGGTCTAGAAGCCCGACCGAACACCGACCAAACCGACCTCGACCGGCACCTGGAGGCCACGTTCGTGTGGGCTGTCCGGGTGCTTCCGATCTTTGTAGACGTTGCTGGCGAAGAGCTCACCCACCTCCGGCGCCCCTCAGAAGCGCGCGGAGCAGCAGAAGCGCCCCGCTTCTGGCAGGCCCGTCTGAATGCAAGGTCGAGCAGCATATATCTGTCGATTCATGGAGCAACAGTGACTGAAGTATGTCTTGAGTATACGAGGTGCGTGAAGGTGAATGGATTTTTGGAGACCTCCTTAAATCCTGACTCTCACCAATCCACTAACTCTGCAGTCCACGAGTCCACAGTCCACAGCCCGGGCTCGTCCGACGACACGCTCTAAATCAGTGGTCCAAGCGACTTAAATAGTAGACCGGGTAATGGGAATGGAGGTAAGCATCGCCCTCCGTCTGGTTCTCAAAGCCTCACCGACCGACTCCGGTACCGGTCGTTTGGAGCCGTGGGTGCAGCACCGCCGCGGCCGAGGGTGTGGACGGGAAGGGACAAGAATAAAGGAATGTAGAGAGATATGCCGCATGAACCCAAACATGACCTCTGTTTTGATAGGAAAAGACCATGTGTTGGCTCCAAAACAGGGGTCAATCAGGTTCTAGGTATATGTACATATATGCATAGAGAGAAAGAGAGAAAGAGAGAGAGAGAGAGAGTAGATAGAGTGAGCCAGAACAAGGTTTGGTTGGCAAAGCTCAGTCAGGAACTCAGCTCAGAAGCGCGTGTTCCAAAAGCCCAGAAGCGAAAAAGTCTGAGGACAGTCTCGAAATGTGTCCAGTCATCAAAGAGATTGCCCACATCCTCAGCATGTCCAAAATGATCCAAATGCACCAAGTGGGTATGTATTATGAATAGGGAGACCTCCCAAACACCCCCTGGAAGAAGAGAAATAGACCAACATCCATTGGGCAATGGGCCCCCCCCAAAAAAATACACACCCAAGTGGAGCTTCCAAAGCGTCCAAACTTGTCCAAACCCACCATCCGTCCCTCACAGGTATCTGCTGATGTTCTGTGGGTGAACTAAATTAACTATCCATGTCTATCCATCAAACTGAGCTCTTGCTCTGGTGCCGCCAAGTATCCGAAGGCATCTTCAACAAGTTGATCGCAGTCTTCGGCAAGCCACTCTTCACTAGAGCCTCCCAACGGCAAGCCACGAACTCCAAGAGCGCCCAGGGAGCAGCCGTCAGGACCCTCAGGACCCTCTACCTTCGATAGATTGGTGTTCTTCTCGATAAATGGCTGGATTTTTGGAGGGGGAAGATGATACCTCACAATCACTTCGTCCAGAAGACCGCATGCTTGCCAGCTGCCAGCTGTGGTCCTGAAAAACCATGCCACCCCGCTCACCAGCATGCGAGAATTGTTGTTGGTAATTACCTGCTGTTTGGATGACCGGGCGCTTTCCGTTCGCCGGGCGCAGAAAGCATCACGCTCACCGTTCCATCCACCCGCCCAGTTTCAGCATCGACGTCTAGACGTCGACACTCTCAACGGAGAAAGCACCCGTTCAAGGGCGAAGGAAAACAAACACCGACGGGATTGACATGAGAACAACAATAACAGTCACTAGTCACAACGCCTCCTCCACGAGGTTGTAGGTCGTTTGACTGGCAGTCAAGACATGGGCGAAGAGCCCCTCCTCCGTCTGCTGGAGGTTCCTGGGAGTCGAGGAGACGGTCCGGGCCCAAACGTCGAAAGGTCGAGGTGAAAAGGGGCCAACGTAACCCGAGTGTGATTGCCTGAAACATCCGATATACAAACTGGGGCAACAACTCCCCAGTTTAAACTGCCTGGACCTTCAAAGGGATGTCCTGTCTGGAGATCCAGCTAGGTTGTGTAGGGGCTTCCAGCCAGGTGACCCCTTTGAAGGTGCTGGTGGTTATCTTTCACAATGTCAAATCATGATGCGTGGAGCAGCAACGTGGTTTTGAGACCGAGGACTTGAGGCCTCGCTTTCATCGCGGCGGTATTCCGCCATGGCTACCAGTGGTTTCTTCTGGTCCGTTGGATTGTCCGCTGTGGAAATCATCGATTGTTGCTCATGTGCACCCTCCTCCTCCTCCTCCTCCTCCTCCTCCTCGTCCTGCTCCTCCTCCTCCTCCTCCTCATTCTTGAAGTTGCCCTCAAACCGTTGCCGATCGGAAGATCCATGACCACAACCTCCGATCTCACACCGATCTCAACAACCTGAGACGGCTCGGCTGCTTGGCCAAGCCTTTCTGAGACGGGCCTGCTTGACGGCCCCTCTGGCCCAAGCTCCTTCCCAACGTCAGGAGGGATTCCGTCGGACCATCGGTGGCGTGCGGCACGAGGCGTTTTCGGCAGCGTGCGGCACCTGGAATCCAGACATCCGCTCTGTTGGCCCAGACACGTCCACCTGAATTTCCAGTTCATCCCCAAGCTGCAGCAATTCGCAAGGCGGGCCATACACTCCGAACTCTTCATGGCTCATGGCTCCATGTCTGCTCCAGCTGCGATCGACAGGCCACCGGGCTGGCCGTCCCAGATGGCCGTCAGGGGACGGCGGGCCATACACTTCGATCGATTCAAGGGACCAGGGTGAGCATGTTGCTCCCTTTCCGCATGCTGGAAGACAAAGAAGATCATGAGGTGGGCAGTGGGATGGGGAGGGTAGGACCTCATGAGAAGAGGTGCCGCATGCGTTTTCCTATTGGCATTAACACGTATATTGAAATACTCCAACACGATAGAGCATCTATGGGTTTTGCAGAGTGTCCTTACCTTATACCAACCCCGGACAGTAGCTACAGTGGCTTCAACAGGGGATCGCAGGAACCTGGCACACAAAGCCACCCATCCAACTGAGGCGTTTCATACAGGGAGGACGAACCTGGCACCCAGAGAGCTCCCACAGGTGTAGAACAAAAAGAAAGAGTGAAGAAACAGGTGTCAAACACAACGGGTTGACCACTGGCTCAGAAAGTTGTTTCTTCGCTTGCACCATGATGTTGATAGAACCTCGCGTATCCATATCCAAGATTTCTAGCGCGGGATGATGTCACCAACCCGACATGGTAGGGCGAAGGTCTTCCAACGGGAGAAGCGTCGCGCCCAACAGACCACGCAACAAATAGCGGCATAGCGCCACTGCTGGGGGAGCTTGTCTCACCGTTCACCTCCAATTCGACCCTTCTGCTTTACTAAACACAGGAAATTGGAGGCAGACTGGCAGGCCCCGCTTCATTGAACCCACTTCTTGCGCTCGTGCAAGCACTGAACTTGTTGCTGCTAAGCTTCAGGTTGTTCACGCTGTCCCCCAAGCTGCTGAATTGAAGCCCCCTGCAGGTGTTATGATCACACGATGATGACTTAGGATTGATTTGCATGCCCAAAAATACCTGTTGGATCCTGTTCGAAAGGTCATTTAGATGTCATTGGATTCAATTGATCTATCGGGCACCCATACATAGGGCACAATAAAAACAATCACCAAGTTCAATGGATCACCTTCAGTCAAGAAACCTGTCAAAAACCTGAGAACTTTCAGAAAGCAGGTCAAGTACTCCACCTGAACAAGCAGCCAGTACTCAGTACTCGGTCACTCGGCAGAAACAAATCTCCGGAGCTCCGGTCGCCCCTGAAGGATTTAATACCGTTTGACTGCTGTTCTAAGTCTTGCATATTTATGTTTTCTTCACCACCGTTCACAGGGCTCACGATGCTTCCAATAGCATGGTTCAAACATGTTCCTGGATGTTCTCTAAACCTCCTCATAGAGGGACCAAAAACAAAAGCCCAACAAAACCAACGACTAACGTTACGTATGTACACTGACTGATTAAGGCACAGTGCCTTCTTTACATATGGTTGTTTCAAGCCCCCAAAGGGTGTTCGAACAAGCAGCAGCACTGGCACCGCACCTGCGAGGCACCCACAGCGCAAAGCTGGTGAAGGAAAAGTACTCCACGCTGGGTGGCCGCCGCGCGATGAGCACGACCGCATCCTGGCGCGGCGTTTTGGTGTCCCGGCAAGGTTCGGGTGCTGCCAACGTAGTCGGTTCGATTGGAACAAGCGAGGTTCGGATGGTTGCTTCACACCTTTCCATGGAATACACCTGAGGTGCACTGGGTCAAACGGATACTCACAGGGCTACAAAAGGGGTGGATGGCAACGGGGGGCCAGCAAAATTGAACAAATGTTGTGGATTGGGCTGAGTTTTCCTAAGTGTTGCTGAGCCCTACTGAATCTTATATATACTAAGTGCAAAGTGACCCAAATCAATGGGAAGGGGGTTGAGTGCTACGCACATCAATGGGAAGGGGGGATCATATCTAAGCCAACCACATAATAAGGAATGTGACATATATGGTTGCATGTTTTTGAACTGTTTGTATTTGTCATATTGTTTGCCTCTGCCAAGTGGCCAAATGTTTGGATTTGCTGCTGTGGCCACTTGGGATGCAAGAAATACATCTGTCACTGGCTGTGCAAATAGGAGCGTGGACCATGGGCGTCAGCACCATCGCCACGAAAGGGTTCTCCCTTCCGGTTCGCACCTTTCTTCCAGCAAGAAGCGCCCTTTCCACATGCCGCCTCTCTCCACTTGATCTCTGTACCCAAGGGACCTGATCTCCACATCCCATCCCAACGCCCTTCGGACCGTCCGGACCGACGTCAAAGCCACCGTCCGCCACGACCTCCTACGACATCCGAGAGCCGCGTACGTCGGAGCCGCGGGAGCCGCGGTGCCGTGCCTGGCGTTTCATGTGCCACATGGGGCTGGGCAGGAAGAGGCCGAAAGCCGGCAAGGCCAACCACATGTAGGGCGTATTGGGATTGCCTCCGAGGCCGCGCGCATGGCCCACGTGTACCATGCGCATGGCCGCGGCCACGTGGCTGCAGGAGTCAATGTCTTTTTTCGGAGAAGGCCGGTTGGAACGGCAGGGCCAACTGATTGAAGTCGACTTGGATGTCGAAGGGGTGTGCATGGACCGGAAGAGTGACACTGCTTGTGAGTTTTTGACAAGAGACACAGCCATAGGGAACATAGGAAGACTATTTGTTTGGAAGTACTTTTTCCAGTCTACATCTTCAGTCGGTCGTTCGTCTACTTTGTAGCATAAATCTGCTGTCAGTCACGCGGTTTTCTGCTCGACCTTGTCGTGAGGCCGAGCCCATGAAACACTGGGCGTCTATCAAAAAGTCTCTTGAACAATACAATACCCTTCTGCTGTCACTCAGGTCAAAGATCCAGCTATTTTCCAACTTACGATTCAGTTGTTCTTCAGCTATTGCTTTTGGTTGTCTTTTCAGTAGTACTTCCTTATACTTCCTTGGTGGCTGGTCGTTCGCAGCTGCATGAAAAAGGCCCAGTGGCTTCCGAAGTGGTCCGTGAACAAAGACCTCACACAGACTGGTCACCCGCATGTGATGCGGCCAAGCTATGCATCCACTGTAGGGGTTCAGCGTCAGTGGAAGGTGTGACCACACACAGCCATGCAGGATCATGCAGGTGATTTATTGGAGTCTGTTCAACAAGGTGGCCACTCACAAGTTTGGGAAACAAGGACCGTAATACAACTGTCTGTCCTAAACATGTCAGCTTGTTCAGCAGCCTCGAAGGACTATGCTTGTCATCAATCCGTATCAATACATGGCATCAGCTGACAGTCCATCAGATCATCTCCTTTTTGCGGCTCACTCTGGGATCAAAACCTGCAACACGCTGCTGCGCGAGCCTGCACTGCGCTTGCTCCCCTTCGACTTACTGAGGCTTGGACCAGAAGAAGGTATCTCGATCTCGCAACATCTGCCTCAGATGTGTTCAGGCCATCGCTATCCATATGCATAGGTTGGAGGCCAAATCGCAACTATCCCTCGGATGAGTCGATGGCTCGACTCGTTGCCGAGATCCTGGACGATCAGTGACGAGATCCTGGTCGACGCGTGGCGAGCCCTGGCTTAGGTTCAGTCAAGTCTTATTTAAGAGGAGCTGCAAATAGGATGTAACCTTTTCAACCCAGCGTTTGTCTTTTGAATGTACTGTGTTTTATGTTAACGTTGTGTGTGTTGTGTTTTCTTTTTGATGTGTGTTTTATGATGTGTTATTGAAAAAATGACTGGGTTTTGATGTCATTTGATTGGATCACAACCTGTTTCAACCCAGTCAGTTGATACCAGTGTTTTTAAATTGACACCAAAAAATCAAAAAAATACAGGTATCAAATCTGCTGCCCCAGCCCTTAACTGACGCCCAGCGGGATGCTCAAAGTCAACTACTTTGCTTGCAAGCTTGCCAGAATCGATCAGATAGCATCATACTCATAGAATAGAGAGTTGAGCTGGGGAAGGTGTAGGGAACCCAACTAGGCAATCGAGATAGCAAATAGCATCATAGATCCCCCATCTTCTGCCTGGAGTCCCTACTAGCCCCACCGGTGCCATCCTTTGTCCAAGTGGCCCTCTACAGCTCAGCGTCAATGAGCCCAGCGCCGACTCAAAGCGTCCCGCCAAGGTCCGAACCGCGGGGTCACTGCAGGGGGGTGGAGCTGGCAAGACCAGGCCTGGCAAGACCAGGTCGCTCGGAATGGGGGACATCCAGGTTGGATGCATCGATGAGGCGTTGGTCCAGCTGGTGTTGGATTTGGGGGGTTTAGGTCCTCCCATGCACCTCGTAAACCCACTTTGGGAGGGAAAAACAGAACGCAGCTTGAAACGGAAAACATGTTATCCCATGTTGTCCCGAATGGATGTATCCCATAGCCAGCTGGGAAAGCTTCCTAGGCACATCACTTGTCTTGAATCCCAAAGAAAGCATCTCAGCATCTCTTAAGAATGCCCAAATCATCGAACATCTCCACCTACCAGGACCTTCAAAGTGACCTCTTTAGAGTCTCTAAGTGACCTCATCCTGGGATATCAAAGGGTCACTTTGAAGGTCCTGGTAGACACATTTTCATCGACCATCCTCGACCTGCTTTGTGGAACCACTCGCCTGCCCAGTAGCTCAGCAGGGCGCCCAAGCTGGCCCACAGCAGCAAACGCTTCATGGCGGCAGCGACGTCCCCACGCTGCAGAGCGGCCGCTCGGTCTCAACACATTGGGTTGCTGTGGATGCTGGAAAAAGGATCACAGCTGAATGGGAGTGTTTCCTGCTTCCTGTCCTTGTTTTGGAATGCACCATGGCTTTTCCTTGAGGATGTCCAATGTCCACTCCAGTCCTTCTGGTGCGATGGTCTTCCGGTCCTTGCTGTTTCAGGGAGACAACTAAAACATAACATCCATCATCCATCTAAAACTGCGATGCATTTTGTGTCTCATCTTTTGCCTCTCACTTGCAGTCAAAAGCCTTCTCGGACGTATCATCTCGCACCTTTCTGGGGCTGATTTGAGAAGGCTGCGGACAAGACTCCGTTTGTTCAAGCTCACTTGGGGATTTGGGGATATTATTCCATGAAATGATTGCGATATATTGATATACTACGATCAAATTACAATCTAATAATTAATATGATCTAGATTGATCTATAGTATCCGATTCCCAAGAATACTGATAAAGTTGATTCTTGGTGGTTAGGAAATTCCTGTTCATCGTGTTAATTTTAACAAAGCGAGAAATCAGTGCATATCTGGCCCTTCTTCTTCTCTTTCGGAGGGCCAATGAATCCCAAGGGTTTACCAGGTGGATTGGTTCCACGCCAGTCTTTCTGCCAGCACACTCTCCAACCCTTTTTCTCGGCCTCGAACTCCAGCCGTTGAATTCACGAACGGTTCCGACAGACGGCCTTCAATTCCGGCCCGGTGCAAGGAACCATGATTAGAACATATTCTCAGGTCATTTTCGAACGGCCCCCGCCGAAAGTCTCCAAAAGTCTACAAACTCTGAGAGAAATCTTGAAAGGAGGAAACATGTTGTACTTACAACGGTTTCAGAGTAGATGGCACTGGCACTCCAAGATGTCTTTGATACAGGGGTCCATATCAACCACCGACATTGAGGATTGTGCCATCTACTCTGAAACCCCTGTATAGTACGGATACGCATAACAACATCTCAGTCCCACCTGCAGGGTCATCTACCGACCGACACAAAAAGAAGACGAGATCCGCTTCGACCTGCTTCGACCTGCTTCCGCCGCTCGACTGGCCCATCGGTGGCGCCACGATTCATCTGCAGCGACTCGGAGACCGGCAACTCAAGCGATTCATTTCTGCTGGCGCCTGGTGATGGCGCGAGAGGGAGAAATGGCGTTTCAGAACGAAGCGGGCCACTGGCGTGAGACATGTCTCAGGTCACCCTGGAGATCATCGAACTTCATGTTTCGACTGATGCAAAACGCCACCGGTGAACCAAGCGATCGACTTCGACTTGCAACGCCGAACCGGCAGGGGTCGTCGTTTCGTTCCTTTCGTTCCCCGCTTCTTCCGGAGGACGTTGTAGACGTAGAAGGCTGCGATGTTTCCAAAGACGGCACCTCGAGAACGGACGCCGCGTACGTCGGGTGTTTGAAAAACCCAACTCGGTCCGTATACGTGGCAGTCTGTGGAGCTTGTGGAAGGGCAAAGAACTTTTGGAGTTTGTGGGTGAACATGCAACATCCCTGGCAGATCAGAAGGGCACTCATCTCCCCAAAGAATTGTGTTGTTGCCAGTGTTTGTATACTAAAAGAACCTATAGTTCAACTGTCCATTCTCATCATTGAACATAATGCTGAACTTGTGTTGAACAGTTAAACTTCTGTACAGTCAGTCATCCCCATCAGTCTCGAGAATCATTTCCCTATACATCCAAGTACCTCCTCAGAAGGTATTTAGACCCTCCAAACCCATCCCAAACACCTTCGAAACGAAGGTACGACTGGAGGCCTAGGGTTTGAGAAAGCCTTGAATCAAGACAAGTTTAGGCTTTAGGCTTTAGGGTTTAGGGTTAAGGCTTTCGGCTTTAGGGTTTAACCAAGACTCATCTTCGATCCGGAACCTCCGACTTGGACCTCGACCTTCGACCTCGGAGACGGGCGAACGTCGGAACCCGTCCACGAAACCGGCTCGGCTCTGCACACAGCTTGATGATGCCACGCGCATCCGTGGGCCGGTGGCCCTGGCCGAGGAAAATCGGGGGCCAAGGAATCCCGGTTTGGCGCCAATCGATGTGTTTCTGATCAACTAAACGTCAAACAAAAATCCAAAACGAGAAGAATTTGACGCAAAGGTTTCAACATGTTTCAACTTTGCTGCGCCATTGGGCTTGGGATATGCTATTCTTTGCTGGCTGTTTTGTCCTTATTCTGAAGTCCTTCTTCTTTTTTGCGGCGTAGAATTCGACGAACCAAGGGAATAAAGGTACTTAAAAGCTGATGGCCTTCCCACCTCCCCTAGATAGATGATTGCAGGAAAATGTGACACCTGCCCACATTCCTATCCGGCAAACACCTTGCGCAGGAATAGCATGGAATAGCGATGAAGGAACTCTGATATTATTGCAAAAGCTAGCCTCCAACTAAGGAAGTAAACTGGTCAGAAGTTCAAACAACAGATTGGTACTAATAGTCCTACCCATGACTGTGTATAGCCATGTTCCCATAGTACCACCCGTGACTGAAATTGTCGCAGTTCTGCTTCCATCCTACACAACGATCTTTCTTGAAAAAAGAGCAAAGTTGCATTGACATAATCATAACAAAATACCACATACCAGGGGTCACAAAGGGGTGGTGTTTAGTCCCTAAGTGAGTGGATAATAGGCACCCCTATACTCCCAAGAGGCACCCCTTTGTGACTGCAGGTATTGTACTGTTTGTTAGGTTCCTCAGAACCGGGGGTATCCCCAAATCACCCAAATCAACCCAACCAGTAAAAAGCCATCGATGACGTCGATGGACTACCCACGAGGTGACGTGGCCCCAGCTAGGCAGTCACCTCCAGCAGAAACAGGGACAGCGCGATGCTCATGGACTTGTTGAAGTTCCCAGCCTTGTTCGTTTGGCAAACACTTTTGACATGCCACACAGACACAATAGCGATGCAATAGGTAAATGATGGAAAGCAAAACAAAAAACACCTCCCAAATCAGGGATTTATTCAGAATTCCATGGAATTTCCAGCTCCTGACAGTGGGTTCTAACAAGCACTGGGACGAGGAGATTTCGTCCGGAAAAAAGCCAACCGAAGTCACGCAGAACGACACCACGCTTCAGCCACGTGCTTGCCATCTCTCAGCTTTCCGTTCTCCTTCCAAGACCAGCGCAACCCAAAAGATGGTCTCCCCAAAGGAAGGACAAAGAAAACCAATGCAATAGAGGCCCGGCCGGCCAGGCAGTGCGATCTGGGCAGTCTCCGTCCTCGCGACCCCGGTGTCCAACGGTCATCGGACCTCCTTGGCCTTCGAAGGTCCAAACCGGGCGGTCCGGGCGAAGGAGCTGGTCGCCGGGGAGAGTTTCACGACCATGAAGGTCACGAAGAGGTTGAAGACCTCAGGTTCTTCGCATGTTTTGGAGACTCGGTGGGACCCGGTTCTGGTGTGGCCATGGGTCTTTGGGCGAAGGACTGCGCAGGTTGAAGCGAAGAGAAGGTCTCTCTAGTCTTCGGTGGAAGGGCGCAAGCGCCGCTCGGAAGGGCGCCGCCCATCCTCCGCAGGGGAGGAGAGTGGAGGTTCGCCCCTTTACTGGCGCCTGTGTGGACCCCGGATGAAATCTGTGGAGAAAGCAGCATGTTCAGGACATTGACATCTCGCCTCAGCATGTCTCAGCAGCGAAAATCGCTCATGGTGACTGGGCATCCGCACCATCGCGCAAACGCCCGAGCCCACCACCTGCGGGAGGTCAGATGTGTCACGCGCGCATGCTTACGCGCGCGGTGCTTGAACGAGAACACAGCTGGCTCCACAAAACATCCTAATCATGACATTCTGATGATACTAAAACATACTAAAACGCACAAAACTGCATGGAATTGAGTCACGTCTCCAAATCAACACCAATCTGACACAGATCTGCCACATGTCGGAGAGAGACGGGTGAACCTGCGAGACCCGTGACGTAGAAATCCACTCAGACGTCTTGTTTTGTGGGTGGTGACACCTTCAGGTGAACAAATGGTTTGGTGAAAAAAAATGGCAAAGGTGGGGGCAAAGGGTCAAGTTTTGATCTACAGCTGACTCCGGGGGCGAATAGCATCAAATAGCTTGCATGAATACATACTGTATAGTCCAATCACATGACAGCCTGCAGTGTGTCCTTTCAACAGCCAAGAATGCCCCCAAAGCATCTAAAAACAGATCGAGCGCTCTTGTAGGTATGACGCTCCCCGATGCTCGAGCGCTCTTGTAGGTATGAGGCTCGTTTGCTTTGACCAAGACATCACGTTTGGCGCCCTATCTCCACATCTTTCGCGCGCACGAGTAACTCAGATCGGTCAAGAAACCCATAGGTAGGCGGGCGCATTCACCTGGGCGCGCCCGGGCGTTTCACGAGAATCTCCTTCCACACGCCACGTCACGAGTAACTCGTTTTGGCTCCAGAGACAGTGATGGCTTGGAGGGCGGTTCACCGGGTATCTATCGGTGACCACCGAAATGGCGGGTCTCTTTCAACTTGACTGAACAACAAAAGAACCCAGGTCCAATGTTTGAACCAGTTTGGGTGATTGCTTGTCCCTGCGTCATAGAAAAAACCTATAAAGGTCTATATAATTTCCGCAAACATGGAAGCGGTTAGTGCCGTGGTCAAGAACAAATGGACGGGCTCGTGAGATAAACAGATGTCGTGAGCTTTAAAGATGTCGTACTGTTCATCCCTATCCCGATTCAATGGCCTCGCATGGGTTGTAGGTTGAATTCTTTAAAAGAGGCTTTGATGTGAGAGTAGGCTGCTGAGAAAAGAACTTGATGTATCCTGATGTTCTGAACATGGTGAATTCAAAAGACATCTATAGGTATTTCCGTTGCACCATCTCGCTCTATAGGAGAACAACTGGCTGCCTGGTTGTCCTGGCCTCAGGTGTGGATCTATATTCCGCCCGATACAAAACCTTGAATCTGTTCTGAGCAGCTCAGCTCCCAGGCCTTTACGAAGCATCTGTATAGTATATGCGGATTTTCATCCAGGACCCATCTCACGTTTACATGTGATCTGGATCAAGCACCTTCGTCCTCGCTCGTGAAGAAACAATCTGAGCGGTTTGTGGAGGTGGAGTCACTGTGAGCTTCGCACGGTAGCGGAGCCTGACCGAGAGAAAGATCTCGGTTGGGCATTCTTATTTTCCAGGGGGTCTCTAGCTAGCTGCAGCCATGGCAGAGCTGCGTTTCAACAAGGACGGCATTCCTATCTATGACGGAACTGCTGAACTATATGTGCCATATCGGCGAGCGGCCTTGAACTATGTGGAAACGCTGGAATGGAAGAAAAGGAGCCTCGCAGGCCCGCGCCTGCAAGCTGCTCTTGAGGGATCTGCGAGAGTTGCCGTGCAACACCAGACGCCAGGCTGGATTAGTCATCACGAAGGTGCAATGCAGCTCCTGAATTTTCTCAAGGCCAAGCTACAAGCTCCGACCTTGGCAGAAGCCGGGAAATCCATCTCCAGGTTCTTCTACAGTGTCAAGCGCCGCAAGGGCGAAAGCATGAATGAATGGCTCATTCGGCATGATGAATCGCTCTTCGATGCTCGCAGAACATTGGCTGAGGCAATCCATGAGTATGGTGCTGGGGAAGCCCCTACTCGACGGAATTTGTCCTCAACAAAGTCTGCGGCACCATCACAGACTCCATCTCAGTATGAGCGTGAAGAAGATGAACATGATGTCACAGGCCTTTCTGACCATGGGCCCTTCAGAGATGATGGTCGAATGGACGATGGTTTTTCCTCCTCTCGCCCAGCTCCCTCCTCTCGACCAGCTCCATCTCAACACGAAGACCCATGGACCGACTGGCATGAGAAAAAGGCGTGGTCTAAATGGGATTGGGACTCCTCAACTTGGGAGTGGTCCAATTGGCAGTCACATCACGCTGCCGATACATGGGGCAAACCAAGCTCCTCCTCAAAGTATGATGCGTCAGAGTCTGCAGCTTCAGAAGCAGACCGATTCCTTCCTGACTTTGTGGTGGCTTGGATGCTCCTGCAACGCTCTGGTCTCGATAGCACAGAGCGAGGGGCTATCATCTCCAACCTGAAGAACCAGTTCACCACCAGTCAGGTGAAGGGTGCTCTCCGCCTTGCCTGGCCTGCTGATGATTTGAAGAAGCGGGATAATCTCCGGGGCTCTGCGCTCTTTCTGGAGGAAGATGAAGCACTTCTTTTGGAGGAGGACGATAGCCTTGGTGAGGACCTGATGAATGAGGCCGATCAGGAGCACTACTCTTACCTTACGGCAGATGTAGAGGTTGCTCTTCAGGCCTACAATGGGGCACGGCGGACCTTGAAAGAGGCCAGAGAGAAACAGAGCTTCTTCAAGAAGAGTCGACAGTTCTACGGTTCTCGGAAAGACTTCAACCCCAAGCCCAAAAGTGAGACCAGCTTTCAGCGCAAGTGTTTCAAGTGTGGTGGACCACACAGTACACATGACTGTCCTCAGAAGACATCTACATCCTCTGGGCAACAATCTGCCCACCTGGCATTTCAAGTGCATGGCAACTGGAATGAGCCACGGCTACATCATGCCCAAGTCGGGCATGAGCATGGGTTGACCTTGGCTCAAATTCTGGACGAGGGCAAGGCTATCATTGACGGAGGAGCCACCTCCTCAGTGGGTTCGGCGGATGCTCTGGACCAGATCCTTGCTCTCCAGGAGGCCAAGTCATGGACTCCACAGGTGGATGTGGAGCTGACCAACCAGCCGCATTTTCGATTCGGCAATGGCGGGCAGAAACAGTGCCTTAGTACAGCCAAGCTGAATATTCCACTTGGAGGTGCCGAAGGCACTATGAGCATCCACGTTCATGACATCGTAGGTCAACCAGTTTTGCTCAGCATCGCTGCTCTCCGTGCATTAGGAGCAGTAATTGATTTTTCAGAGGACGAAATGATTTTGAAGCGAGTGGATGCATCTCGAGTCATCAAACTGGAGACGACGCCGGGAGGCCATCAGGTGTTTCCCTTGACGTCGGACATTTTGTCAGAAAGCATCCCTCGCTCCAAGCCTTTTGTGAGTTTGCGAGACATTTCAACCGAATAGGGACATCACCCTCCTCGGCCAAATGGATCTGAACTGGAGACTTTCGTCTGTTCGGAAAAGGCTGGGGAGGGAAGTGCAGAATGGAATTTTTCAATTGTGCAAATCCTGTTCAGTTCTGAGTATTCCTTTCTTGTTGATGATTTTCTTTGTGAACAGTTGGTTGAGTTAGGTTCGGGTTCGTCGATGTCGTCTGTGTGTGTTTGCTTTGGGAAACAAGAAAACTTCCTAACTGGGATATCACCAAAGCCCGGGCACAAGTTAGATCGTGAATCCTGTGATCCTCCCGAGTCCGCCAATCATGCCAGCAATGTCCAAAGCTCAGCTGATCGAGAAGATCCAGGAGTACGGCGAGACTCCTCCCTCTACGTGGGGCAAGACCCAACTGGAGGGTCGGCTTGCAGAGTTGAAACACCTTCACCAAGTCGAAGAAGGGTCACAGACCAAGAGCCGTGTAGCCGAACTCAACAAGGCTGCTCGCAAGAAAGATCATCTCTTGGCTTACATGAAGGACAACAACATCCAGCACTCGGGACACGAGACCATCAGTCAACTCTTGGCTCTGGGGCACCGCCACATTCTGGAGACCACCAGTCCTCGGGGATCCGATGCCATGGGCTTCGGGAAGCATGCCAACCTGACCTACTCGGAGGTGGCCAACCAGGACTGGAACGATGTACAATGGATGCTGACCACCTGCCAGGAGGCAGGAGGCCTGAAGGGCACCAGCGATTGGCGCCTGAAGCGGTTCATCCAGTGGTACACTCATGGTCAGAAGGGCATCCAGAAGCCGGCAGGATCATCCAAGAAGGTCGAGAACAGCAAGGATGTCAAGTCTCAAGGCTATGCTCCAAAGACCTATGCGATGAACTCGCCCCGCCAAGAAGAGAAGACGGACTCCTCATTCACGGTCATCTCTGCTCCAGTTCTTCCAACCGAGACCGAGGAGGAGATGGAGACAATCTCAGAGACAGAGCTGGAAATTCAACGCCTCGAGGGCCAACTTCGCGATCTCCAGCGTGCCAAGAAGGAGCGCTCCAGCCGTGCTGCACCTGCGCCTCCTCGGGCGGAGCCACAATGAGTGGTGACTTGGAACAGTCACCTGCATATGAGCTTCATCAAGCATTGAGCGCTGCGGAAATTCGTTTGCTTTCAAATCAAGCCAAAGACACTGTACTTCAGGCTTGGGAGGAAATGGTTGATCATAACCGATTGTTTTTGTTGGAGGTTTGTTGTGCGGAAGATTCTGTTTTGACCGACCAATGCCAACAGATCTTTGGTGAAGGCACCGCTGAACGAATCGCTCACTGGAATGGTGGGGACATAGAAACCTTCTCCGGACGACAGCACATCGCTCAGTTAACGAAAAGAAGCCAAAGGTCGTATGGATATCGCCCGAGTGTGGCCCCTTCAGTCCCATACAACACTTGAACATGAACACTCCTGAGAAACGAAAAAACTCAAAGAAAAACGTCGACATGCGATTTTGCAATATGAGGGAGCATGTCAGTTGGCTCAGATTGCTCATGAAGAGGGTTGTACCTTTGTGATTGAGTTGAGTGAGAAATGTGAAGGTTGGTCACAACAATGTTTCAAGGACCTAGGTAAACAGGTGATGGTGTTCGAGGCGGTGTGTAAGGGTTGTCAGGTGAATCTGAGGGATGACAAGAACCACCTTCTGGGAAAAGGGTGGAGAATGAAGAGCAACAATTCCAAACTCATGAACCACATGAATCTTCCTTGTAGCATGGACCATGAACATGGCACGTGTGAAGGGGAAATTAGTGTGTAGGAGCACCGCGTTCTATCCCCGGGAATTCGCTCGTCGCGTGCTGAAGAGTGCAAGGTTCAAGGAAAATCATCAAGAGCTTTTGGGGGAACTGTGTGATGGTATCGGAAACAACCATCCCAATTTTGACTTGAAGGAGGACTCTTTCTGTTTCTCCCTGACCCCTGAAGAAAAGAACAAAACCCTGCAGAACATCAAAAGGATCCATGTTGCGACTGGTCATTGTAACAAGGACTATCTCTATCGTGCTTTGAAACGTCGAGGTATCGATGAGGAACGATGTAGGCTGGTTCATGAGTTTAAGTGTGACATTTGTCAAGAGACCCGTCGACCGGCGCCTCGGAACAAATCCACCTTGGAAGACCTTCCTCCGAAGTGGACCAGGTTACAAATGGACAGTGCTGACTGGCAACATCCTGAAACGGGGGAGACCTTTCATTTTATTCTAGGAGTGGATGAGGGATCACGATTTAGGGTTGGACGGTTCATGCATCATGGACGCAATTTCTCACCATCCACTCAGAACCTGATCCAATTTTTCGAAGCGCATTGGCAGCCAGTGTTTGGAAAACCCACCTCAATTCGTCTCGATCCGGCTGGCGCGTACCGAAGTAATGCGTTGGAACAGTACATGTCCGATCGTCACATCATGATTGACACAATTCCCGGAGAAGCGCATTGGCAGAATTCGTTGGTGGAGCGGGGTATTCAATTTACCAAATCCATGATGACCTCCTTGGCTAAGGAATACCCTGAGATGGCTTTCCAGGAACTTCTGCCGAGGTCTCTGTGCGCCCAAAACAATCATGATCAGTACTTGGGTTTTTCTCCTCTTCAACATGCGTTTGGACGAGGACCGGACTGTTTGGGACATTTGAGTCATGACCAAATGACGGACATTCCTGTTTTGACTGAATCCGGAATTTCTGCCGAATTCGGGGAAAATGTGAAAGCTATGATTGAGGCTGAACAAGCTTTTCACAAGGAACAAAACAAGGAACGACTGAAGAGAGCTCTCTTGTCTGGGCATCGACCTGCCTTGCAAGTGACCCCAGGTGACTTGGTGTTTTACTGGCGCCTTCAAGGCTCAGGGACTTTTAAGAGAGGTCGGTTTTTGGGACCAGCGCGTGTCCTAGCTGTAGAGACTCGAAGAGACTCCGATGGCAGTCAGCGACCCTCCTCTGTGGTCTGGTTGGTGAGAGGAAACAAACTGTTTAAAGCAGCACCTCAACAGATCCGCCACGCCAGTCCCCGAGAAATGGCATGGGCTGAACTTGAGCAACCCCATCAGCCGCTCTCTTGGACAATTTCAGATCTTGTGGATGGCTCAAAGAACAAAATGTACGAGGCCATCCATAAAGAATGGGAGGAATATGTCAAGGAACACCAGATTCCTGACCAAGAACCTCCTAACCTGGAAGACCTAGAGAGAGAACTCGAAGACGAAGACATGCCTCCAGAAGAACCAGCTTCCGCATCAAGCGGACCATCTTCCGAAGAACGGCCAGAGAGATCAGCTGAAGGATCAACAAGTCCGGAAGCCATGGAAGAAGAACGTCCACCAGCCTCTAAGAGAAAATGGCAGGCTCCACTTCTCCGAGCACGGAAGAAGACTCCAGGAGTTGAACAGTTGGAAGAAGCGGACTTCATTGGCTTGGCATCCAGTGAGCCGTCCAACCATCTTGGTCAAGAACAAGCCTGCATCAGCATAGAGATCGATCTTCCTTCAGGTCCAGCCGTGAAGAAGAAATCCTGGCTACGCAATTTCGAAGGATTCATTGCCAGCCAGGTGAAGAAGAATCACATCGAGATTTCAGAAAGATGGCTCACACCAGAAGAGAGACAATTGTTTCAAGCTGCAAAAGATGTTGAAGTCAGGAACTTTATCCTGGCCAAAGTTTTTGAACGACTTCCAGACCATGTCAAGCCCGACCGGACTCAGGCTCTCAAGATGAGATGGGTATTGACATGGAAAATCTGCCCGAACACACAGAACAGAAAAGCGAAAGCTAGGGCAGTTGTGCTAGGGTATCTAGACCCTGAGTATGAAAGAAGACCTTCGGCCAGTCCGACCGTGTCGAGAACATCTAGACAGCTTTTTCTTCAAGCAGCTGCTTCCTTTGGATATGCCGTTGAGAAGGGTGACGTCAGTGGAGCATTCCTTCAAGGAAGGCGATTCAATAGAGAAGTGCTGTGTGAACCTCTGCCTGAAATTTGTCAGCAACTAGGTCTGCCAGAAGGAAGTTTGACGCTTCTCACTCGAGCTGCGTATGGGCTAGTAGAAGCTCCAATAGAGTGGTATTGCACCATCAATGAGTTTCTCGAAGAGCTTGGCTTCCGAAGACAGCAAAGTGATCCATGTGTGTGGGGACTCTTCCAAGACGATCCTCAAATTCCAGAAGACGAACCTCAAACACCAATTGGATGGATCTGCTCCCACGTGGATGACTTCATGTTCGCAGGTCAGCTGTCAGACCCTCGCTGGCAAGAAATTCGAAGAAAGATTCAAGAGAAATTCCGCTGGGGTGATTGGGAAAAAGGCTCATTCTCTCAGTGTGGAGTCAACATTGAAACTACACCATCCGGAGGTTTTTGCTTGAGCCAAAGTGATTTTCTGGATGGCGTGGATGAGATTCACATTCCCAAGAAGAGATGGGATCAAAGAGGAGAACGAACAACTGATGCTGAGAAGCAACAGATGCGCTCAGTACTAGGATGCTTATCCTGGCACGCAGGACAACTAGCAATGGATTCCTGTGCATCCGTTGGACTGCTTCTCTCACAAGTGACTTCATCAATTGTAGAGGACTTGATTGAAGTGAACAAAGTCTTGAAAAGAGCTAAAGCTCGTGGCAAGCAAAAGATGTACATTCATCCTGTTCCTCCAAAAGACATCCTCGTAGCCACTTGGGTTGACGCTGCTCATGCCAACAGACCAGATGGGAGCAGCACCAAGGGTGTTGTCATTGGATGTTCATCACATCAATTGTTGAAGGGAGAACTTGACGTGGTAAGTCCCATCTACTGGACCTCATCGAAGATCACTAGGATCTGCCGATCAAGTGCTTCAGCCGAAACTCGTGCAGCTGTGGACGGCGATGATCAAATGTTCGCCATTCGTTTTCAGCTAGGAGAATTTCTCGGTTTCCCACCAGACATCCATGATCTAGATGGATATGTGAGCAAGGTGCCTGGTGTTTTGATTTCTGATGCCAAGAACTTGTACCATCGTCTTTCTCAGACCATGCTCACACTTCGAGGAGCCGAGAAGCGAAGTGATCTGGAGAGCTTGTGCTTGAAAGAGTCCATGAATTGGGCAAAGACCCAACTTCGTTGGGTAAACGGTGACTCCCAGTTAGCGAACAGTCTTACCAAACCTACGGAACCTCACCAGTGTTTGTTGTTTTCGTCGCGGAACTGTCGGTGGAGAATCGTTTATGACTCAGAACTGATGTCTGGTCGTCGAAGAAAGAACCAAGGCCTAAGCGCCTTAGAACCAGACCAGGAAGGTGTGTCTCGCACTTAAAGATTTTAGAATTTTGGGACCTGTGCGGATTTTCATCCAGGACCCATCTCACGTTTACATGTGATCTGGATCAAGCACCTTCGTCCTCGCTCGTGAAGAAACAATCTGAGCGGTTTGTGGAGGTGGAGTCACTGTGAGCTTCGCAGTATATATATATATATAGCTTGGCTAAGAATGGACAGCCAGGGGTCACAAAGGGGTGGTGTTTAGTCCCATCCAGTGAGTGGATAATAGGCACCCCTATCCTCCAAGAGGCACCCCTTTGTGACTCCACTGCAGGAGTGATTATTCATTTTTGATGTCTTTTTGTCATCTGATGTGTGAAGACCGTCGCACACCGTGGCCATGTGAGCCTTGAAGCTCAACAGGTCACTCGGCCACCTTCCGAAATGAAACTGAATGCGGTTCTGCAGTTGACATCTAGTGTTGTTTTTCTCTGTATTTATAACATGATATATACCAGCACCCTCCAACAGGTCACCACCTGCGACTTTTAAGTCAGCAAAAGCCTCCAGAGGAGACCTGTTGGAGGGTGCTGGTATAAGATTATATATAAATAAGTGATTCCTCCTCCTGTCTGAGCCGGGTTTGATCTCTGAGTCACTTGACTTTCTATCTTTTCTCGCTCCGGACCACCTCCCCTCACCTGCTCCCTCACTGCATCGAGGGCGCCGAGAAGACCTTCAGGAAGACCGACAGGTCCGTCAAAGGCGACCCGAACCGGGCCATCCAACTCGGCGGCCTTGCGACCAGCGAGGTCGGTCGT